CAGATTAAACATAAGAGCTACATTATGATAACTAAACCGGGGACTAAATATGCTGATAAATAAATTAATGACCAAAATAAAGTGATTTACGTCTTGGCCATAATAAAAGAATAACAATAAAATGTCTCGGTAAAGTATTCAAAGTCTGAAGAAATGAAAAAACCATAGGGAGGTTGAAGGAATCTGAACAACTTTAAGTTTTACAAAAGGGTAAAAACAATACAATGTAGTTATGATAACAGAGTTCAATCTCCTCAACCATATAAAACACTAAATTTTACCACCACTGATAAATTTAGAAAGTGGGTGAATTTACATGAAACAAACTGAATTAAAAAAAGCTAAGATTATATGCATATTAAACTGAGCTGCAGTTAATATTATTTACATAACACCTGGGGATGTTTCAATATTTACCTTAATACTCTGCTGAGGTATGACAGAATTTCTCTGAGGTCACCTGTCTTGAGGAATGAATAATGACAATAGAGGTGAAAGCTGCTCTGTCGTCATGGGTGCAAACAAGTGTAACAGGAGAGTGTTGTTAATATGCAAGCCGCTCTGTAAGTGGAGCGAACACGCCCACGCAGTTCTGAAAGGAGTTTTGATTCGCACAATTATAATTAGCCAACTGTGCTTTATGGTGTAACATGAGTGTGTAAGGCTTTGATGTTCACTTTAAACTACTGCTAGATCCCAGGAAGTGTACAGTTTGTTATCAGTTCATGAAATAGAGATAATAGATTTCAGTTCAAGATAAGTGCAAAGTATGCCGTGGTATTTAGCAGAACAGACCTGGTAGAAATGGAATATAATGTTCAGTATGTGTTTTTAAATCAGTATATAATCACCAGTATACAAAAACTTTTTTTGTTTGTTTTTTTTTTATCTTATAATATGTCCTCACACTACACAGAACAGACAAACATAACTTTCTTTTTTTTTCTATTTTTGCATTAAGTGGCTTCTCAAAACTCACTGGAGGATCACACCGTCATGTATCACAGGAGCCGCTTCTCCTGACAAACCAGCATCACTTCACCAAGAAAGTGACCCATAGATAATGCTAAAGGTTCTTATGTCTACATGCGGCATCTTTAACCAAAAAAGGGGAAGCTTGTCTTAACCCAGCCTCAATATTTTAGAAGAAAAAGAACTTTATTGATCCCGAAGGTAAATTCGATTTGATTGTGTCCTTGTCTTTGCATGCACAAGTTCTAACTTTCAAGCGATCTAGTAATAGCTCGTGATTAGCTGTCTAGCAATGTAAATTTAAATTGTGTAATGGTTCTGAACTGAGGCCAATTTCTGATTAAAAACATTAATCGTCTGAATTGACACACAATTTTGTCCAGCATGTGAAAAAGTCAGACTCTGGGGTTATGAGGTAAATGTCTATTTCCTGCATTTTATACAGAACTACATGAATGGCCCTCCTGTGTTTGTTTGTTTTTTTGGCAATGTTATTTCCATTTTACTTTTTCTAACTATACCATTTTATTTCCTCTTTATACCTCTGACAGCTGTTAATGCTAGTTTATTTTAGGAAGCACTACATGTTGTGTTGTTAGATTTAACAACAAAAAAGTATGTGTTCTATGAGCTCCATATTTGCTGATTTCAACATGTAAATGAGATAAGAAGAACTTTATTTATTTGAAATAATGCTGTTAAAGCACATTAAACCACATGCAGAACTAACAATGAAAATATGTTATCCATTATTCAATACATACATGTGCCATTTGGTTGCATTTAATACTTGTATGTTGTACTCAGCATCGAAATCCAGCTTTAACTTCAGTATTGCATAATTGTTGCATACATTGACTTCTCAAGTTTAGTTTAATCTATTTGTTTATTCGAACAGGTTAAAAGAAAAACAAAATAAATACAATATACAATGTGCTTTGGCAGAAAAACAATTAAAGAGACAGCTCTGTAGCAACATAGATAATCATATTTTGTTCGAAAGAGTGTAGGATGAAGTTGATAAAACTTATCTAGTCTTCCCCTTCTATTGTTGTGTTACTATAATTTAATCAGTCAGAAAAAATAACTTGCATGTGAGTGTCCAGAGGGTTGGTTGTTAAGTGTTGTTATGTGATTACCGCTAAGACATTGTCTGTAAATAAAATAGATGGATGGATGGATGGATGGATGGATGGATGGATGGATGGATGGATGGATAGTACTGTAGAAGACACAGGCATCACACAGCTGAAAATACAGTTTCTGATGGAACAAATGGAGTAGACAAAGAGTGAGTCAGTAGACATCAGAGCTGATGACAGGCCAATCAATCATCCCTTTAAAATAGCAGACCATCGAGACTTCACATAAATACACATTCATTGAGACGAGCCGCCACTCACTGTGTGGCATGCTCGTGCTGTAGCTCCCCCTTCTGATTAAAAAAAAACAATGCACTCCATGCACACCAGACATGACCTGTGACTGACGTGTAAAAAGTTCAACAAAGATTCCTGGAAGTGAACAAACCGTCTTCGCTTGGTGGATTCGGACCAATGCATTGATGTGGTGTTATTACAGTACTTAAATATGAGGCTATTTTCTCGTTCGGGACCGAAACACCAATGGGCTGCGGTCCTTGAATGTCCCGTTTTCTGTTCCGAGACAAGCTCAGCACCATTAAACAACTTATAAGACCACGTACAGAAATGCACGTGAGGACTGCACCATAATTGATACGAGATTTTCCCGTGGACGCTCCACAATGCCTCCTGCTTCTCCGACTTTTTCCGGTAACATCCCCCGGCCACGAAACATGACACTTGTAGCCATGGTAACAAAACAACTGCAGTTACCTAATATGGTCAAAGGGGAAGTGAGACGTAACGGTAATCGCGTACTGACGTCACATAGAGCACGCACTATGCGGCGGCTGCTCCTGCGGCTGCAAAATCGGGTTCCCTCGGAACAGTGAGGCTGAGCGTGGGGCATGAATAAATAATTAACCTGCTGTTTCTGCTGCTCCCACTCCTTTTTCACCATTCCCACGACGTTTGTTCTTTATGTAATATTGTATTAAGAAATAGACGACTCAAGGACATCATTATGGAACAAAGCAGAGATAAAAAATATGAATAGCCTACTACGGAGGTTTAAATGATTCATGATCATTAGTAAAACTCAATGTCCCACATAAGGTATGAAAATAGCAAGTAGTTAATAGTAATCCCGTTTGAACTCTTGTCATTCATATTACCCAAAAGCCTTTAACTTTCATTTATGGCCTCAACTGAAGGCAAATAACAACATGCCCATTTATTAGCTAGCAGTCCAGATGTATTAAACAGGCTATAAATTCCTACACATAGGTTATGCAAAAATATAGCTACTTTATCTCCCCTACGAAATGTATTCAGTGTGCTACTTGTTATGGAGCCTTTGACCTTTCTTGTTATCTATTTGGACATGTATCTATGTAGAAATGATTCCTTTGTTTTGGGCATGTTAGGTCTTTTAATTTAAAGCTGGAAGATTCATCCCAGAACTGTTTGACCCCAGGAAAGATCCAAATGCTGGATTCAGATATGCTACATCATAAGAAATAAGCACGCAATGACAACTAAATCCATGGCCAAAAAAACTTTTGCAAAAAAAGAAAAAAAAAAAAAAGTCTAAATTTTGGGGAAAAAATGTTGCAATTGTCAGCATTTTGTGATGCCCCCCCACACCGAGATGGTGTGGTTATACCATTGGTATAACCACACCATCTTTCTTCGTATCACCTGTTTCTTTACAATGTTTCTTAAAATTTGCTTCAGCAATTTCCTTTGGTATTTTGGTTTCATTTATTGTGTCCCCTTCCTCGTCTTAGTTGCCCTGCCACATGGCAGCCAAGCCCCCAGTCTGGCTCCACACGCCTTGCCCAATTGCTTATTTTGGAGTGTGTTAATTGGTGTGTGACTCTCTTGGTTTATACTCTGTTTTGAATCATTTTATTAAAAATAGTTTTGACTTGGAGCCTTCTTGCCCTCTGGTGTTTCAATGTTGTGCAACCCTGTTGCAGCAGCTAGCAGTTTATTTGCCATAGTTCCCATCTCGCCACACATGGTCAACTGTTCATAAAACTACGAAAGTGAGGGTTCCTTCTTAACTGATAAGAACACTCAGTTTTTGGTATCAGACCAAACCATGCTAGCTTGATGACTGAGTTTATCAACAGCTAGCAGCTAGCTGGGTGCAACAAGGTGGAATCCTGTCACCTTTCCACTTTAATGTTTTTAATGTGGACAATATTTCCAAACAGCATTAGTTTTATAAGACTGAATGTATGGTAGAGGATGGACTTATTAATTATTTGATGTGTCCTATTCTTACAAAGCTGGTTAACAGCAAAGTCCGCTCAAAATCTTAACTAGCAATGGTGACATATAGTTTACGAGCAAAAAGAGTGTCATGATGTTTGTAAAAGCCAAAAGCAGCATATCTTAGAATCATTATTTCTAATCAACAACTTAATTTAGTAGAGCTGGTCAAATATCTGCAGCACAGAATTATTAGGAAGGACTGGTGTGACATTGATTTGCAGCCCAAAACTGTTTTCACAAGCTAATATGCTGGCATGTATGATTTCATTGTGCACAGAGGTGTGGAGCATTGCATAAATTTGTGTTGGTTGATTGATTGATTCAGCAAAATGAAATCATAGTGTTCCCACTCAGCCCACACTGAGAGACACAAGATAGTTCTTGTTTTTGGATTGGAAATACTGGAAAAAAGAAATAAATATCCCTATCTTTAAATCACTGCATACTTGTTAACTGTAGTTATGCTGTTGTCTCTGTATTGTATTTATCTGTTTATTTCTCATTCTTTTTATGTTGATATGGACTCTTGGATGTGCTGTTCAGTATTGAGTTCAGTAGGTTTCTAAATCTGGATTGGTTTGGAGCAGTCCATATCGTCACTGATTTTACTCATCAGATTAAGAAACATTTTGGTAATCAACATGGACACTTTGGAGACAGAAATCCAAAGATATTTGCTTGTTGTATTTTATTTTATTTTCAGTGTCATACAGTTTTTTGCATCTGATCATTTCTGAGAAGTAAAAAAATAAACTATGTCATAAAATACATCTCGATAAAATACACAATGTGATTCTTTTTTAAATGGACATGTCAAGTTAGGGGACACCTTACAGCAAGATGTTACACCTACACGCTACACATTAGTAACCCCGCTATACTCACTGATTGGCTACAACACATTTTTGTCAACAGTATTACACATATATTAAAGGCTACTGAGCATGATCTATCTTCACATCACATAAAGGGCATTTTTTAACACAACATACCACCTCTTCTTGGGACACAGATGACTTGATTTTGCATGCATTTCTATCATCAGCACAGAATCTCATGGTGCATCAGCAGTACAAAATAAGTAAACCCACAGAAACGTGTCATCTACAAAACCTTTGATGTTTATGTTTTCACAACACCAAAACTCACAGAAGATTATTCGAGAAAGAGAGGGATCATAGCTTGCTGGCTGGTTAAAGTACAGTTTCAGTATGGTTGCATAACTTCTTCACATTCACAAGGCCAGAAGTGTCGGAGAATTAAGATTATCTTTCATTAACTCAGATGCACCAAGGCTGCCTTTGCAGCCCTCACAGCCTTCAGACAAGGAATCAATCTCAGAGTAATTAAAGGAGAACACTGTGCGGTAATTGCTACAAGAGGGACTGGAAGACATGATGGGTGTGTTTAAAGACTCCAGGTCATTAGCTACAGACTTGTACAGGGTTTCCCAGTCAGAAAGGCAGAAGGGCCCACTCAGGTCAATATCAGGGACAGATGCTGCCATCTCTGAGGTCACTGCCATCTCCAGGCTGGGCACCAAATCATCCAAGTCATCTCCTTTTAAGTCCTCCAGAGCCTCTTCTTCTTCTGCATTTGAGCACAGCAGGATGTTGGAGTTCCCCAAAATGGCTGCAGCGGGGATGCAGGGGACAGTGTCCATGTCTTGACCAATGGGGACTTCTGCAACACTTATGTTGCTCTCAGGGGTTCTTACATTCTCTAGGATAGACAGCAGCTGTGGGGAGGCTGGAGGGTCCTGCAGCATTGTGTCATCATCATTACAATCCTCCTCTTGATCCTCATTGTTTTCTTTCTCAGGTAGTTTGCAGCATGGTTTATGGATGGCTAAGGCCTGCTCAAGCCTCTCCTTCTCTCTGAGCAGGTCCTCTATTTCTGTCTGAAGGGCGGACTTCTCCTCTTCCAGCTGGTCAGTCTCCTGAGGTGAGAAGAAGGAAAATTAGAGGAAAAAAAACACGGCAAAAGGAGACATGTGAACAGTGCAGTCCTCTGGAGCCCAGCAGTGATCCCTGTGGTGCTCCTGTTTCCTTTAATCACAAGTGACATGCAAGAGTGCACGTGCTGTGTGACATTTTTGAAATAAATAATGTACTTACAGCTTGCAGGGTGTCTATCAGCTCCCTCCGTCTGTTGCGACACTTGGCTGCAGCTATTTTGTTCCTCTCCCTCCTGATCCTCCTCCTCTCCTCCTCCTCTTTGGAAGCCTGGAATCAATCACAAATCGCCAAGTTTAATGCGCATCTCAGAACCTTTCTGCCAAATCAGCACTTGGCTTCTCATCACAATTTTTCCTGCCAAAAATCGCATAGAAGAAGAAGATCTCCTTCGCGGGGTATGCTAGGAATACTAATCGGCTCGGTGCTGACGCTCCCGTTCACTTCAGGCGTTAAAATGCTGCACCACTGGCACGGTCCAGTCAGGCACGTGAAGGCGCACGTTTATGCAATTTGCCATCCCATTCATAAAAATGACTTCGCTCCTTGTTGCTCCTTAAGTGATATCACTGCTACTACTCTCTGCATTGCTTAAATAACATCAACATTCACGAGGTTCTTTGATCGCAATTAACACTTTAAAACGCACACACCTTCACGTCATGTTAAAATATCGCGATAACTCAATTTCATGTTACCCTATGTCAATGGGGGTGAGACACCCAGAAAAAATAAGAATAATGTTCATTTTTTTTTACGTTAATTTGATGTCTTATTGGTTGAATAATGAGTTTATTGATTGGTAGAATACCTGTAACATTATTGCAAGATTGATATTTTTCCCAATTTTTCCCATTTTGACCACAAATTTGAATGAATTATTTCGGTGTACCTTGTCTTTCGAGCATTTCCTGTTGCAGGGTTTTGTCTTGTTTGCTGCTGCCGGGGAAGACGACTGATTCTTGTTCTGACTTCTGCTCTTTGCACGAGTGGACGGAGAGACAGATGTGATGACTGTCGGCTGCACCATCCACTTCAGATCCGGTGAGGTTGAGATTGCAGTCACAGTCGGAACAAAGGAATCTACTGCACTGGTTCCAGTGTCCTATAAAAATCAACAGCACAGAAACACATTCATGCTGTCAAAGTGCAATTTGTAAGCACCACGCACGGTAATGTGACCTCCAAATGGTGCAACAATTATTTGGCAGAGGAAAAAATGACCCAAAAGGACCAATCTGCTTTCTGCTTATCAGCTAAAATCATATATTTTTCCCTGTCATAAAAATCATCATCTCTATTAGGCCATCCCTCTAAAACTAAAGGTCACACCTGTGAAACGAACAACACTGCAGACACACCGAGACTCTCCAGTCTACGTGTTTGCAAAGGCATTCCATATCACAGGACCAGAGTCATATTAAAGAACAGACTTGGTCATGAAATTTCCTGACACATGTTGACATTTTGCACAACTATACCTGCCGTATCATCCAATATTAGCTCTATGCATGGATTATCCTGCACGATTTGAAATAGATAATTTCTTGGGATGACCAGATTCGCTTGTACCTTCTCATTGTCCACTGATGATGCAAGCGAGTCAGAAAGATGCTGGCTGCATCCAGGGGTGTCCCCACCAGGCGATGCTGTGCTACAGCTGGACGAGGAGTCGAACTCGGTGCTGGAGTCTGGATGCATGTTCTCATCTAACATGTCTGCACAAAAAAAACGAGAGAGCAGCCTGTCAGGTCTAAAGAGAAAAAGCGACACCTTGATGCTTTTTATATTCCATTTGCCAGCACCATAGATGGGAACTGTGCAGATAGTGGAGAGGCCCGCCTTTTATAGTGAGCCGGATTTTTATGAATGAAATTTGTATGGTGAGACTGAACCATTTCACACAGGGGGGGAGTCAGAGGGTAAAATATAAGCAGATGTTTCACCATTAAAAATATAAAACAATCAAATGTCTGTGCAGCATCTTCATCATTTATTTGATTAGAATTCATTTTGGTGCCCAAATATTGAATAATAGTGAGCTTGTAGTGAGGGACACCCCCGTCTGCATTGGGTGCCCATCGCTATGAATGAACTACGTCATGCCATGTATGCAGCATCTGCATCATATAGGCAACATGATGTTCTCTTTGTGTCCTCAAATGTTCACACGATGTACCCAAATTTTCCTGCAGCATCCCTGACCATTGTTATTATTTTTAAAGAGGAGCAGAGATGATGTCAGTTTTACAATGTGATAATGTCCATTACAGCTGAATCTACGAGGCAAAATCAATACGAGGGAATTTCATTACATCTGTGCAATAATGAAGACATAGCATTTTGCCCAAATTTATGTGGACTATGACTGTAACACCGTGCATCATTTTTATTTTTGTACATTGTGCATCCTAAATAATTATCAATGCGCCATCAACCGTCTCTCTGGATCGTCAGCCATACATCACTTACTCTTTCCTCATGTCTCTGCATATGAATACAGCTCCAGCAACAGAATTGTCGCTGTAGTAAAGCAGCCAATCGCCGAATGGACCGGTCGAGCCATATATGGTGTTTCCTGTGAGCAGGGGCGCGCTGACGGCGCATGTAGAGCGCGCAGACAGACGTGTGAATGTGGCTGTGTGTAGCCCACTCGCTCACATCCTCAAAAGAAAAAGTGAAACATGTACTAAAAGGCTGTCCCGTCATGCATTGTACCTGATAACAGCGTCATTGAATGCGTCTTGAATAGACACAGATGCTTCACTTCTAAGACATGCAAACCTCTTCATTTGACGCAAATTTTGTGTGAAGTAGGATTTACATCCTTAATTAATTCATCTGCAATTTTAGGAAATCAGGTTATATTATCATGACATGTTTGTGCCGATATTTAGAAATGTTAGACACATGCTTTCCAATGGTTGTGTGTTTCTTTGTTTGTTTGTATCGATCCTCTGTCCATTATTGTCCTCATAAAAATCAATGGCATTCACAGTTTCAATTAGGCTAAGCCGTATTCCCGCATAGCCGCACTGAGCTCATGAGAAAAGGCATTGTATAGGCTGCATGCTATATTTAGACCTCAGATGACTTCATAATGCCACTGGAGATAGAGCAGTAAGCGGTGAATAGAGGGGGGCCTCTCCCCGCTCAGAGGGGCTGCGCTCCCGGCTACTTCCCGGCAGTCACAACCCCCTTCTGCTAATGATTACTGGCAAATCATTAGGTGGTCTGCAAGAACCAATTCAGTGAGCGGTGAGGTTCAGAGGTCGGACATAACTGCAGACACCCCTAACTACAACACAAAGACTTGTTTTCATCGAGGCCACCTGAGCGTGAACGTGCACAGAGCAGAGGGGATATTTTTAGAGACAGTGACATCAGAGCACAAAGTTCATGTAAATAAGGCAAAAACACCAGCTCAGCCTGCTGTGCTCCGGCTTAACATGCTATGAAACCTATGAGCTTCACATGAAATGTCTGTTTTTATCTCAACAACTCGTTATACTAAAATAAACAAATATACTAGCACTGAAAACAAACAAAAATCTAAATATTATTGAGTCAAAAGGTGGATAATTTACCTTATTCAAAATCAAAGTTCAGAATATTTTAGCCATAAAGGCCCCTGTAGTTGCTCCCAGATGGTAATGATACAAAGCTGTCTTTATTTACATTATTAAGACGAACAAGTACATCATATTTTCAATGCTACTTCCACTTCTCCTGTCTAGCTTTAGTCTCCTCATGCTTTGATTCTAAAAACATTGTCCAAAACAAATAGCCAAGGTCAGCACTGCATGATTGCAAGCAGATGTCCTTGCCAACCAGTCAAACAAAGTTCTCAAACAATCCACAAGTTTCCCGGGTTGTTTGGTGTCCTGTTTCATTTTGCAAACACCTCAAAGGGAGGGAGCGCAATCTGAGAGTTACAATGAAAAACAGAGCTCCCACTCCGTCATTCTTTTATGACACCAGAAACCCCGGCCACTGGGGTGACGTCAGGTCTAGTCGTTGCCTCACAGCCGACGCTGGAGAGCCGGTTTTATTTTTTTTAACTGAGTGAGCCGTCTCCATAACATAAACGATCGTTGTTGCTATGCAAAGCGGCGACGTCACTGACGCGAAGGGGTGGAGTGTTGCCAGGGTAACCAAGAATGTTGAACAAAACAGGAGCGCGGGAACCAGAGCATGAGTCCTTTAACCTATATTAAAGCTCTTTAGCATAACACTGTTGCTATCACTTCACAACAATACTTATTAATAATACAATGCTATTAATATCGTATTGCTAAGGACTTAACATTATTTTAAATGTCTTACTGCAGCCTATAGCTTTCTGAAGCTGCAGCAGTGTTCATAACACCTTGATAGGGGTGTACTACTTTTATTGTAATTGGAGGAATGCCTGTTGTGCCCTTCTTAAACGCTATAGGCGATCAATTAAATGTAGAAAACTACAAATAAACGTTGCTGATACTTAATGCAGGTCTTTAAGTAGGTTTATCATGAATAGTAGGCCTATGTGGGTACTTTTTAGGTGTGCTATCCATCAGTATCAATAAGCTATCAATGTAAATCCCAAAGGTGGAGTCATGAGGATTCCCTTTGACCACATTCGTAGGGAAATACCTTTATGAACATCCCCCTGAAAAGCTGTTGTGGAAAAGTACACATACAGAACTGGTTTGCTGTGCAATTAAACACGCCCTGACTTGTACAACAGTCAAGTACAAGAGGTGCCTGAAGGCAGAGTACACATGTGAGTGCGTCTGTTCTGACATGAATACATCAAACAGCCTGAGTGGTGTGTGCTTACATAGAGGTGCTTTTGTTGCAGGCAAATTAAAAAGCTTTTATCCAACTGTTTCAATAAACAAATGATTTTGATAGCTAGAAAGAGTATTTGTAAATACATAACTTCTTTTCATCTGCAAGCACAGATTTTTTTATTATGTTGATCTTCACTGTCCAGCATAATTCGAATGAAATATTTGTGCTATACTCTACAACTACTTTCACTTTTTATCTGTTATCTCATTATCGCACTAGTGTTGGTTTGTGAGAACCATAATTCTATTTGGCTGGACACCAGATATAAATTACAGTGAGTCAGGTCAGTTGAGTTGAAATGTGTTTTAATTTAACAAGCACTTGCCCCAGAGTTTTTAATATTTCCAATATTTATTTAATCTCTTTTTGGTGACATGAAGTTTTGTATTTCTCGATGTCACAATTTGAACATAGTGAATAGATGCAAGCTCCTTCATTTTGGACAGGTTTGTCTTCTTGGGGATTTTGAAACAGACTGGAATAAACACTCATGCATAGGCCTATTTATGACCTACACCTGCTAAAAAGATCCACAGCTTCTTTGGGGTTATCTTCAATGCAGAGTTCCTCACAAGAGCTTTAAACTTGATCATCAACACAAAATTTCCAAACATGAAATATGATATGTGCTTTTTGGACAATAATTCCAGGGAACATTTCTGTAAGTTGTGAAAATGTGTCAAAACAAACCCTATGAGCAATTGTAGTCTCCTCTAACATTAATGACGAGATTGTGCTTTCTTGTAGCTGGAGTTAATGGCTCAATGAAGCCACATGTTGATTAAAAAAAAAGTAGTTATTCTCATTAAGACAGTTTCCTGAGCTGTGATTAAGGCTGATAACAGCTCGTAAGATGTTAGGCTATGGTAGTGAAAGCAGGTGGAGTCAGAGAGGGTAAGTGGTTAAGATTGTGTATATGAGAGCTGGAGCTTTGACTGATAGCTTGGTGTCAAACAAGTTGTGTTTTAGGCTGACTGAATAGGAATTTGGGGATTCCGTCAGCGTAAGAATATTGGAATTTCCTCCTGTGGGACTAACAGAGGAACATCTTACCTGATAACTGTATTGAGCCTTAAAGGGAAATTCTGTTGCTGCTTATTCACATTTATCCTCATTCTACATGTCTAATCAGAAGGTTCATCTATTGTATGTCTGCTAATGGGTGCAGGTGCAAATGCAGTTGATGTACTTTAATACAGAAACAAAAAACCTTAATGTTTTCCAAATACCTTTATTTCTCTAATTTAGACAATTTCAGGTCAGACCCTGCTTGCTTGTAATATTGTTTTTTTTTCTAAAATTGAACATGGCTAGATTATGTGTGTGTTGCACGGCAGACTTAAATGTCACCTGTTTGTTGTCACTGTTGCTATTATACATAGAAGCAGCAATAGTCAATCTGCAATATTATAGTATTTACAAATAAGTCAAAGGCAATGTCAGCTGCAGAAAGTCAAATTAAAACTGCAGTATTTGTACAAGGTAGTAACCATGCTACTGAAAAATAGGTGTACTTTGATTTTTTTTTAATGGCTAAGTTTTTATAATGAGTTTTAAAATGCATTCCAGGTTTTCTGATAGAGATGAAAAAAAAACCCAAACAAGTCTTACTCTTCTTAATTTTTGATGACTCATGTTCGGTGTCACTTTTATTTCATAACGGACAAATGTGCATGTTTAAATCTACCTCTGATGTATTATGGTGTGTAGGATGTACTTTTGCTGACCATTATCCTACTTCTTCAGTTTTCACAACAGCCTCTGTTTGTTGACTTACATAACGTCACGTCGCTGTCGGCCAGTCGGATGGTGTATTTCCCAGCAGGCTCCGCCCCTTTTTACAGGATGAACCATATTTGGCAAATGACGTCTTGGGGATACCGTCTCTGGAATATTCCAAATCTCGAAGGCAAGAGTAAAAGTAAATCCCGTGATATTTAATCTTGCCTTTAATAGTCCAAACGTGAATATAAACGTTTTGAAACAGTATAATCTGACAGTTTTGGAAGTGTTACTTGGTGTTTGTGTCGAGTTGTTATGTGAGTGTTGTGGTGTTGTCTCTTCGCGGTGTCAGGTTAACAGCGCTCCCCCCGTCTACGTCATTCACGGGTCTGTCTCAAGCTATAAAAGGACTCCGAGCCTCCAGAAGTGGCATTCAAACTTTCAGTAGCAGACAAGCAACAACAAGAAAGACACCAGGAGCTGAAACCGAGAGTCCCTCGCGCACTCTTTTAAAGGATTTCCTTACTCAAGTGAACATTTCCGCCTTCATTTGGATCTTCCTACTCTATTTTTTTGCGGAAAGATGATGTTTACCGCCTTCAACACGGAGTGTGATTCCTCCTCTCGCTGCAGCACTGCTTCACCGTCTGGTGACAACCTGGCATATCCATCACCAGCGGGATCTTACTCCAGCATGGGGTCTCCCCACTCTCAGGTATGTCCGGTATCCTATTTTTTAAACTTTTAGTTCAGTGATATCTGTATAGAAGTTACATCAATTTGAATATGCTTGCAATGCAAAGCAGAACTTGTAAGATAAGCATTAAAATATTGCGCCTCACAAGCCTTGAATTTAAAAAGATGGCTGATGAATAGTGAAACATGAATAAATAGTTAATAGCCTATATGTTAAGTTTAGCCTCAAATAGTCTACTGACCTGCACTTCACAGTGCAAGGCAAGCTTCATCCATCCACCTGGAAACTCCTCTGAGAGAGTGTAACGTCATGGCTTACATCATATGGATATTTTTAACCCAGCCAGCTTTTTATAGGTCCCCTGCTTCATTCATAGACACCCCGCAATGCTGCACCCCTCCTCCTGAGAGCATCCATGTACTGATGATTCTCTTGCTTCATTTCCCTCACAGGATTACACCGATCTGACAGCATCAAGTGCCTCCTTCATCCCCACTGTCACAGCCATTTCAACAAGCCCAGACTTGCAGTGGATGGTGCAGCCTTTGATCTCTTCAGTGGCCCCCTCTCACAGAGCTCCCCCCTACAGTTCCAGCCCCACCTTCTCCAGACCAGCCATGAGGTCAGCAGCCTCCAAGGCCCACAACTCTCTGAAGAGAGGAAGAATGGAACAGGTAATTATCATTTGATCATGCACTTAAGATTCAGCATAAGAAGTATAACCCTAAAAATCAAAGTACTTATTATTTATTCAGAGTTGGAGGTTGAACTTTGTCCACTTGTATTTGCAGACATCACCTGAGGAGGACGAGAAGAAGAGAATTCGCAGAGAGAGAAACAAGCAGGCAGCAGCAAAATGCCGCAACAGAAGGAGAGAGCTTACAGACACCCTGCAAGCTGTAAGTGTGCCACAAATTTACCAACTCTCATTTTAATATTGTATCATCACACCACACCACTGTTATCCAACTGCTAAGCTAATGCACTTCCTTTTTTTCATCTCCCTCACAGGAAACTGATCAGCTAGAAGATGAGAAGTCCGGCCTGCAGAATGATATCGCCAACCTCCTGAAAGAGAAGGAGAGGCTTGAGTTCATTCTGGCTGCACATCAACCCATCTGCAAAATCCCCTCAGAGCTGGACACCGAGTTCTGTGTTGCCTCCATTTCTACCGCCCATCCCTGCCTTTCCACCAAGTTGTCCCCCCAGTCCCAGAGCACCATCCCAACTGCATCCTCTGTCCACTCAAGCCAGCCAACCTTTACATCATCCTCCAACTCCATCTTCTCCACCAGCAGCTCTGTCCTCTCCACCGCCACCGTCTCCAGCAGCTCAGTCAAGATGTCAGACCTGGAGTCCTCAGTTCTGGAGGAGTCTCTGGATCTGCTGGCTAAGACAGAGTTGGAGACCGCACGCTCTGTTCCAGAGGTCGACTTGTCCAACTCTCTCTACACAACTCAGGACTGGGAGCCTCTTCACGCCACAGCCAATCCCAATGACTTTGAGCCTCTGTGCACGCCTGTGGTGACCTGCACACCTTCCTGCACTACCTTCACATCTTCTTTTGTGTTCTCCTTTCCAGAGGCAGAGACATTTCCCACCTGTGGCATTGCCCACAGGAGAGGAAGTAACAGCAATGATCAGTCTTCTGACTCCCTCAGCTCACCGACCCTCCTAGCCCTTTAAAGACTCTTCCAGAAACAATAATTCTTCCTATAAAGCACATTTTCTTGATATATTTAGATAGATGTGCAGATCACAGGGCTATGGAAAGGACTGACACCAACTATTTATTATTTTCTTCACCTGTCTATACTTGCCTATGACACCAATGTAGCAAGTTAAAAGCATGTTTCAAGTTATACCATCTAGTAGTGTTATGAGTTCATAAATGATTTCTGGTGCTAGACAAAAAAAAATGTTGTAGTATTGATGTGTTTTTAGAGCAATATTTGATATTGATCCAGTTTGTTTTTCTGGTTGATGGAATGTGAGAGTAATTGTGAAGTTTTTGTGACACTTAAAACTGACATGCTTTGTCTTAACTGTGGTCTGAGTGGTCTATCTTTGAGTATAAAGTTTTCTGTGAAAACATTAGTGCTTTTAATTTATGAAATTTCAATTTATTTTTTTACAGAAAGAATAACTATGATTGCTGTTTGTAATATATGTAAATAAAACATAGTGATATTTCAATTGACCTATTTCTCTGGTTGTCTCTAATTTTTCTCTTTCTCTCTTTTTTCTATTTACTTATAGAATTAAGAAAGAAAACCATCTTCAGGGGGAATCATCACTCAATTAAAATAATGCCGTAATTAGTCTCTTTAAGGGATAGCTGTTTTTTTCCTGCACCTCCACTACCTAGCTCTATTTATTGTTCCGTCTGTTGCCAAGGTTAACTTTACGTCAGGGCTCTGACGTCAGTGCGTTCTTTCCATTTTTTTTCTAAGTTTTCAGGCACAGCGCAATGACGTTTTACTTCCGTGCCCAAATATAGCACGGTAGTACGGGTGGTTGCTGCCAGCTCCTGGAGAAAGGCAGACAGACGGCTCAATTGAATGACTTTTTCTGCTTTAATATTCTTGTAGGTGTTTACAGTTGAAGTTTTATCCACTGGTATTTCTCTAGAGAGAGGGGGAAACGTGTTTTGTGCTTTCTTCACCGAAGCAATCTGCTTTTACTGCACGCTTCTGGTTATACAACAGAAACCGCCTGAGGATCCGAAGGCAACATTTCAGCCCCGATTCACGTTGGTTTGATTTATTCTGCTTTAACGAAAGACTTGAATTTGTTAAAATATTACCTCCCACGGTCATGATTTGAGTTACTGCAAATGCGTCTGAAATTAGTGTGCAGGAATGACCAAAAAATGAAGTAAATGGCCCGAGCTAATGCAGACAGCTGGAGACGCAATGTGAAGTGTCTGTATGCTCTGTGTGTCCTCCTCAGGCTGGCCAAACTCTTGCTGATTATCACGTAAAGACAATTTCTGAGAAAGGTGCACATTTGGGCCAAGATTTATGTTCCTAAAATAAAAGTGATTGACGGTACATGATCAAAAGTGTATATAAAGTATTATGACGAACCAGGATTTCCAGAGGGTCTCATATGTGGTCTTCCTTTACCAAATGGCCAATTGTTTACCCCTGTTATTGTTCAAGAAACATATTTAGTGAAAGGTTGGATCTTTGGATTTTATTTTCTTAAGTTCCTGCATATTCTGTCTATATACGTTTATGTAACTCACAGCTTTAAGGTTAAGGTTCATCTGAGGTAGCCCACTCTTTGAGCTGGGACTTACATGCATCTGGCAGAATGTGCAATCCTAACTTTTCCATTTTTTTTTATTTTTTAACAGAAGATTGTTATCCCAAAGACCATATCATTAACGTGGAGACAGTAAATTGATCATATACACTATAGTTGCTTTATAAATTTCTAATGAAACTCACCGCTGAAATATTACAGTATTCACACTGTCATGAACCTTTCCTCTCCCACCACACCCTTACTTAACACCCTTTCACCTCACTTGCTCGTGTCACCCTTTATCAACATTACAACAAATCCAAAGGCGAGGCAGATTTCTTAATAGCTTTCCACAGGAAGTGTGTGGTGTATGTGCACGGCGAACCGGCTAAGTGGAGGACTACTGACACACAACTCATCCTGACGTTTGAACTCTCCCAAGGCGGTCACACCCTTTTTTATGCAACAATGCCATACAATATCAGCAGCTGCTTGTCTGCTTGCTGTTGGCCAACACCTCCAAAGTAAATACTAAAAAAGAAAGATTATTCAAATATTTATAGTAGTTCAAAGAAATATATGCATCTTTCTTGTGAGATTGCTTTAACACAGGACCTTGTATTGTTTGCACTTGTTATAACTCTTGTACCTATTTTTCTTTTGTACTTTAGTAAAGCCACTTATTCCTTTACTTTTGCTCCATGTGTGATCATGCAGCACCAAATGCAGCTCTGTCTATTAATACCCCCTTTGCCAGCCCTGGGGAGATGGGGAAGCAGCAGAAATAGCAGGTGCCTATTGCCTCTTTTAACATCAGCATCAACAGCAGTAAAATTAGACCACTATGACGCCAACCTGCGTCGGTGCTGCAACCCAGGGGAGGAAGCAAGTGGCGTACGCCTGATAGAAAGAGAGAAGGAAAGTAAGAGCGAGGGGAGGGGAGGGGGTGGCAGACAAAGATCCCTGGCTTAGTGTAATCGTGAGCAGAGTGATGATGAAACAGCCAAGTTTGCCTCCGTGTCACAACGAAACTTGCCCCTTGAAACCTTTCTTATGTCAAGATATAATCCATGATTACTTCACTGTCTTCCCCCATGATGCAGTTACAATCACACTTCTGCATTTAAAAATACATCGAATTACATTTATCTCTTTTTTGTGAGACAGATTAAATTCAATGTATTCTATAGTTTTTGTGTGTGCTTTTTATTTGCATTCAGAGGTGATAACAAACACAGCTATAGGTATAACAGCAATCATTTCAGGATTTGTAGACACTTTCATAGGCATTTATGCTCATTTATGGAAAAATCCTACTCTAAAGAATGACTTCAGGGACATGCTGAATCAGTGCTCAGGATGATGAAATATTAGTCAGTCAATAGTGAAATTACCGAGGAAACTTTCCAGGTGCTTTATCATTACATCCATGGAAATATTAAATCTTTGTTTAAAGTACTGAATAACCACTTTAAGTTCACATTGCAATGATTAAAATGTTTAAAATGTCAGGGGGAGGGGGTACCTGTAAGTGTAGTAACAGGTATATGGTCACAAAATCGGAATAGCTCAATTTCTAGCATTTAAACTCTGCATCATGGAGGTGCGTGTGTGTAAAAAGCTATTCTTAGAGGTTTTTTGACGCACTCAAGCTACAATACTGAAGGGATTTCTCCATCCAGTAATTACTGTTCATTTAGTGCCAGACTCCCCACACAGCAGCGGGTCCTCGTCTCATCTCATGGGATCAGTAACAAGGATGTTTCCCTGGAAACTGGACTGCTCTATCATATGTAATTGGGTAATTTCTGAGCTGCTGACAGAAAAATAATATCTTTAGGGACCTTCAAATGCCTCAGCCAACACTGAATGTTATATGTCCGTTTACATAACCAGTATTTACCATTACTGGAGACGTTATGTAATTACTGCAACACCAAGTACATATTTGAATAAAGTATGTAGATATCAGCTGTAGACATTTAGACAGTAGGGGAAGAGTATAAAGGGGTTCTAACGTCCGGATTGCTCTGTTGAAAATAATGTAAGATACGTACAGCTGCATCTAAAAAGAATAGAATATCGTGAAAATTAGTTATTGACATTTAATTTAAGAAGGCAAATTTTAATGACACGTAAATGTAAAATATACCAAGCCATTCTGTGTTTTAGTGTGATGACTTTGGCTTATGGGTCGGGATGGTGGGGAGTGGAGTTCTTGTCATCTTCCTCTTGACAATTGTCTCAGGGAAGGCTACAGATTGGGAGTGTTGGCTTGCCAATCAAGCACAGAAATATCACGGACAGCAAATTACTTGGTCAGAGTTTTGGCATTGTGGGCTGGTGATAAGTTCTGCTAGAAAAGTTAACATCTTCCAATAGATGGAAGCATGAGGTACTCTACAATTTCCCTGTAAATGGCTGCATTGAGTTTGGACTTGATAAATCACAGTGGGCCGACACCAGTAAATGACATGGCACACCAAATAATCTTGATTTCCAAAATATAATCGAGTATTTACTTACCATCTCAAAAGAGGATTTGGACACTGAGCAACCGTCCAGTTTTTCATTCCTTAGCAAAATAAGAAACTGAGGGTGTTGTGTCTGGTTCAGGCTTGATATTGGTAATGTGACAGCTTCCTCTGGTTGTCTGTGTGTGGCACCTCTTGATACATTAACACCAGCCTCTGTCCACTCCTTATGCAATATCTTGAGTTTACTTAACAATCCTCTCAAGACTGCAGACTGCATTGTTACTGTTGCAGGATTCCGTTTCTCCTATTTGACTCCCTCTACAAACTTTCAATGTCCATTTGAGCATATTACTGCAATTAATACCACCAAGACAAATTTCTATCCTCTTCTTAGGCTGGATGACAAGCAACAAAGAGGAAAAAATTAGGGTTGATGACTTCCAGAATTTATTGTCCCTTCAAGGTTTCAACCAATGCAACAACAAACAGGCCAGAACATTTCCAAACAGGGTTTGGCATCAGACCAGCATAGACCAAGGTCAGACCAGCAAAAACTAGTGCGTCAGATCAGTATAAACCAGCATCAGACCAGCACACACCAGTATCAGAGGAGCAAAGAACACATGGAGATAAAAAGAGTTAAATCTAGACAGATTGTCACCCAGATAAAACCAGCAAAAAGTGGTATGAACTAGCACTGGACTTGTATAGACTAGCATAAAGTAGCCCCAGACCAACTTAGATCATCATCAGACCAGCATGAGACCTGCATATAACAGCAGAGAACCAGTAAAGATGAATCTCATTGCAAATTGATGTTATACCAAGCAAATTACCTCAGGATGAGGAAATAGTTAGTTATGACCCTGAGGTTATCCAAAAATAAGGAAGACCACCACAAAGATATTATTTTAAATAAATCAGGCTTTACAAGAAATAAACCGAAACCGAATCAGTGCTGCTAAGCAACTGACATAAATTGAATTCCTCAAAAAAAACTTTGGAAATATTATTGTATTATTAAAGTGCCACAGGTGTTTGACAGTTTTTTTTTCCTGGTAATTTTTGTTTAAACCCGGCCCTGAATGAAGAATTTAGAAATTATTTCCAAGAGGCAAAAAAAAGTTGATCTTGGATCATTACAACGGGGTTGTTTTTATTTCTATTTGGTCAGAGTGTAGATGTGTGTAACTGTCAATATGATGATTTGTTGTTTATAGACGAATAGTTTATTGTATTCTTTTATGAGTTGTGTTCAAAGTAAATATAATTAAGCCTGTATTAGCCTAGCCTTGTTAGACATAATGTGACAGTTGAACACGGCTGATAAACCAAGGACTATCTTGGAAGGAATGGACAAGGGAATGAAGAGGAAGATTAAGTCAATGTATAGGCTAGGCTTCCTTTTTTTTTTTGTTCTTTCTTGGTCTTTTTTTCAAATATTAAATCAAAGTGTTTCAGTTTCTGGTAACAGAATTTATAAACTCTCCTGTCTTGTTGTGAATCTTTTAAACTGCTTTTTTATTTTACAAATTCGAAATAAAGACATCTTTTGAACAACCCGATCTTCAAATCAAATCCTATTCGCTGGCTTCCGATCAGATATCATCCTCTCATCTGACACGCACCCCTGCACACCATTATATAATATTTAATGTTAATACTGCATTTAGAACAACATTTACCTCATGCACATAACCCACCTGTTATGTGGGTTTTTCATTCACTCATCACTCCACTGTACTCTTCACCATTGCTCTACTGGAATGCAATGCAATGCATGACTTGAATTTGCCTTTGGGGATCAATTAAGTTCTTCTTATCTAAACTTATCTAATCTTATCTCATCGTATCTTGCTGCAATAGCGGTCTTGTGTAGGGGAGAGTGGGGTAAGATGAGCCATTTTTCATATTTCGGATCACTACATCAAGGCAATCATAGTTTTGTCTCTAACTAGTATATCTGCATGTATTTCAAGATGTTGTGCATCCCTGCAAACCAACAGAATGAGTGTAAACATAACTGTCTTGATAATATAACATGCCAAAAAAAAGTGGTCTCCTATGGTCAACTAACCCCGTGTATGGGGTAAGTTGACCATAGGAGCGGGGTAAGTTGAGCTGTATCCCTACTGCATACTTTGTACATACTTTGTAACATTTTACTTTTAATGTGTATACAGAGAGCAAAGTTTACCGGTGTCAAATTCCTCTTATGTGCGCACATATTTAGCCAATAAAGCTGATTCAAATACTGAATCTGGTCTCTCTGTTAACTCAGTTGAACTCGGCGCACAGAGTCTATTTCCCCTCCAGGCCTGTGGCGGCGCTCGAAGGCGCCGTGAGGCCGGCTGTGTGAGTTGGAGCTTGGTGTTAAGCTGGTCGGTCTGGCACGGGCTGGTTGGTCGGTTTGTTGAGGGGTAGCCATGGCTCGACTCGCTGTGCTACTGCTGTTACCGGTTCTTATTGAATCAGTATCTTCCATTTCTTTCTTTTTACCCGTCAATACAAGAAAGTGTTTACGAGAGGAGATCCACAAAGACGTCCTGGTCACGGGAGAATATGAAATTAGCGAACAGGCGAACACGAAAACAAATCTGAAGGTGAGCACAGACCTGCGGCTATCTGTCACTCTGTTTTCAGGCCGAAAAGACGCATGATAGTTGCCTGTATGTCCAACTACATGTGCGGTATCGAGTCAGATACACACGCAAGAGGAGGGATGGTGTTGTACGGCTGAAATTGAAGCTAGCTGTTGTTAGTTAGTGCCGCAGCTAGCTTAGGCCTCTGAAAGTGCTCTTCCTGGTTCCAGTGGCTAATTAGCATGCTAACACCAGTGATCCCTTCTAGCGTTTTTTTAACGTTCTGCGTCAAAAAGGAACCACTTCTACATCAATAGTCTGCATTGTATTACTGATGTCAGCCAACAGTCCAACAATTATAGTGCTCTGTATTAGATGTAATAATCTCATGTGCGAGATATCGGCTCTGCTCTGCTGCTGTTACACGTCAGTCTTACCGTCCATTAGCACATTAGCCAATTACACGTCAAACTACAGCTGAACGTGCTGACAGCTTATAAAATGCGGTTTGGTTATAATTTCCACGTAGCAAAAAATGCTCTGCTCCATCTTTTCGTTCTTGACTGACAGTGGCCTAATTATAATGTTCTTCTATTCTTACAAATTAGTCTCCATTTCGTAACAGCTGCCAAGGAGAGACCGGTAATTGATTCATAGTAATACAGAGCTCATTAAAAAGGCTCGGTGATTTGAGCTATTGGGCTTGATGTTGTCTGGTAATATAAGTTATTGGCCAAGATTAAGTCAGTCTTAATTTATGTGTCACCACATCACTACAAACGCCACCAACACGCTTTACAAGAAGCGCAGGTCTAAACTCTACCATGTTTTTATTATTTACAAAGATCCAATATCAAGATTCAGTCCTATCTTACCGGCTAACTCTCAGTCCAATTTTTATTTTGATCTACCATAAGTAGAACAGTTTGCAGTCAAGGTAGGGCTCGGCGATAAAATGATTATAATACATATCAAAAATTAATTTCCCTCTATCAATGTTAAACATGGTCAATATCCTTTTCCATAGTCAGCATTCTGCCATGTTTTGGTAGACTATACGAATAGCCAATGAAAAAAGAGTTGCTCCGGGTCCGCTTTGTGCTGAACCATTCATGTGCTGAATTAGAACCAAGTACCAAACAACAGCTGGTAGCAGGCTGCAGCTACATGCAACCGTTACACCTTAACACGTGACAGGTGAGAAAAGAAGAAAATGAGTGCTACCCCCAGCAGAAATGCAGATGAAGGCTCAACAGATGACGACATTGCACATGAAGCAAAGTAATGAGCGCTACAAATTTTGTCAAGTACATGCTTTCGCATAGTCAGGGAATACCTCAAATCTTTTTCACCACCTGAAGCAGTGTCATGCGGCAAATCACGCACAATGCAAAAGGTTACAAACCAAGAGCGGAGCAAGGAGCCCATGGCGCCTGTGCAGCCGAAACAGTCGACCATTCAGTTTACTTTCTCTAGTGCAACGCCTTATGAAAAAAAGTCGAAGAGACACAAAGACCTCACAGATGCAGTAGCTTATTGTGTTGCAAAAGACATGCTGCCAATAAGCACTGTAAAATTTCATTTTTTACTTTGACTGATATGAGAAAAATGTATTGTGATAAACTTTTTCCCATATCGCCGAGCCCTAGGTCAAGGAAAACCTATTAAATAGGGCAAACCAGACTTATGTTGAACAGCCATCTGCCTTGATCATGTTGGGATTGTTTTATTATCAAAATATTTAAAGTCAAATTATATCCCTCTTGCTTAACAGGACTTGTTTACTCTTCCCACTGAAATCTTAAATGTTCTGATTTTATGTAGCAAACTTTGATTTATCATCAATATTCACATTTGAGATTCTCCACCCAGAGATGATATTTAGTAAAAGGCTTGGTTTTCCTATTGTTCCAGTTGTGATAGACTTCTCATTCTTATCTTTAACTTTACAGATCACAGATTCCTCCAGCCACACTCTTTACTCCAAGGAAGATGCAACAAAAGGAAAGTTTGCATTCACCACAGAAGACTATGACATGTTTGAGGTGTGCTTCGAGAGCAAATCACCCATGGGTAAGTCGCACAATCAGGCAAAATGGGCTTTTAATTGTTTTACTTGAAAGCACACTCATGATTTATTATCACAACAAAAAAAATGTTAGGAATTCTGAACATTTTGTCCCAGAAGTACTACCTGTAAATAGATGAAATTATTACTTCATTGTCTTTATACGAATACAGAGGGAAAATTGAAGTTGCGTGTCATGCAAAATAAAATTTGCACAGGCATAGTGTAAAAAAAGGTGAAGAAGTTCAAAATGAGTGAGAGGAAACTCTCCGTTAGTTATACTCAAGCTAAAAAATTATACAAGTTGTGCATCAGTTGCAGTTGGCAAGTTTAAGGTTTTGTTTTCACTTGAACTCGAGCAGGTTTGCACAGCACAATGAACAGTAGTCATCATTTCATGAAAAGTGCTTTATTAATAAATTCTGATTGATTGTCTAATTTACTTCATTTGATCCCATATGATGCTAAAAATTCTGCTTATTTCAATTAGGGACCGGAAGGGTGCCTGATCAGCTGGTCAACCTTGACATGAAGCATGGTGTTGAGGCCAAAAACTATGAAGAGGTAAAAGGCGTCTAAAGTGTTGCATTGATTTGATTTCTATACTTTAGGTAGGATAAACAAAAAAGGTTGATATGCTATTTAACTGCTTGTCAGAACAGGGGGTGGGGTTAGGGATTAGACTGAGAGTGAGAGAGGGATGGCCTTGTTGACATGAAAAACTTGTCGGTTACCTCTGCTGTTAACAGACATTTCATAGTTTCCTTTGTCAGATCTTGTTCATGGCTTCAGTTTGTCACAGTATTTACTGAAGTGGTCGGGGTCTTTGCCACCACATCCACAAAAATTCTCCATAAAAGGGACATATCCTTGTGCATCATCGCTTTACGCAGATTTTCCTCCAAGAGTCAGGATAACACTTGGTGTTGCAGGTGCCTGAGGCAACACTTTAAAATAAGATGTGATACATCTCTGTGAGCTGAGAATCACCCTCCCTCCCACACGCCTCATGAACATGACGTCCTGTTCTGCAGAGTGTGCAGGCGGGTGTTCAGGGAGAGCTAGGTGGGCATGCCTGTCTGCAGGCAGGTGGGTGGAGTTTTATTTACATATTTATGAATGTCTATAAAGGGGATGGTTACTGCTGTGAACACCAGTGATGTTTTAAAGGTCCCTGCTCTGTACACAGTGCATGAAAATCTGTTATTTGGCAGATGTACTTACAGAGGTGTTTTCTTGGCTCTGCACCTATTAAATGTGGTACATACAGAGTTCCTAGCAGATTTGACCTTACAGGCTTCTCAAGGAAATGTCCCAGCTGTGCAGGCCAAAAACTCTGAAAATAAAAAAACATCTGTCTAAGATGAGAGGCGTGTGCTTCATACTCTGAAAATGGCATGAAAACATTACTGGTAGCACTTAATCTTACACTGTATTAATATCTAATGTCGAGGGCATACATCTTTGTGGCTGAACACCATGTTGCTAAGATAAGAGAATTTCATCATTTCAACAAACAGCACCAGTTTCAAAAGTTAAAGACACACTTGAGGCAGTCCAGCTGTTCACTTCCCACCAGAGTTCAAATAGCTCTCCCACCACCAGTCAGTGAACAGGTGTATGGTGAACAACTGAAGAATGAGCAGTCATAGCTGAAGGGGGACACCTACTGGACCAATTTTATGATGACACCCAGCGTCTTATGAAACGGAAGTTTTCAAAGCACCCTCACTTCCCGAAGATCACTTCTTGAGTAGCTCTGGTTTGTTTCCTCCAGATCGCTAAGGTTGAGAAGCTGAAACCCCTGGAGGTGGAGCTGAGGCGGCTGGAGGACCTCTCAGAGTCCATTGTGAACGACTTTGCTTACATGAAGAAGAGAGAGGAGGAGATGCGGGACACCAACGGTGAGAAAAGGAAGCTTTAAGCAAGTTTGCCAAAATAACATGAGCTCCAACCCAAGGTGGAAGACCAGACTTAGTTTAAGTTATTAGATGCAAAAAAGAGGGGATGTGAGATTGTGAACAACAGCTCTTTTGACAAAGATGACTCCTGCAGCATAATTTTTGAGATTAGCAGAGTAAAGACAGACTGGAAAGAAAAAGCATAACAAACAGCTAAATAAGAGACCTCTAACTTAGTCATTGGTCAAAACATGGTAAATGTTTGGTCTGAGCCAAAAATGAGCAGGTTCTGGTCACACACACAAGGACTTCTTAACAAACTGATGTGACTTAACATGTTGCACAAGATCAGTTACGAGTGCGATGTCTGCTCTGCCATTTGAAATCCAAGGTTTTAATGCCCATAGAAAATAGGAATGAGGTTGTCTTTATTGAATTTTATTAATTACATGAACAATAAGTCACTAACCACCTTCCCTCCCTCTCTGCAGAGTCCACCAACACACGGGTGCTGTACTTCAGCATATTTTCCATGTGCTGTCTCATCGGCCTGGCTACATGGCAGGTCTTCTACTTGCGGCGGTTCTTCAAGGCGAAGAAGCTCATCGAGTAGAGGGACTTGTAGCTCCTGTACCTCAGGAGGGGGGAAGCTGCCTGCCAGCCAGCCAACACATCCCAACATCCACCTTCCTTGGACTAGCTTCAGCAAACAGCAAGTGGGGTTAAGGGGCTCAAGTTCTACTTTTTCCGGCTGTGAGAGAAAGAGTACCCGGGTTGTCCTCTGAGAATAAAAAAAATGATTCACCTGCTTATGAAGTTTTCTGAAACATGAAAAGCGCTGTAGGGAGAAATGCACTGTGAGTCATGAGAGACATGTTCGTCTCTCTCCATGGTACCTCTCATTTCTGTCTGCATTGTTTTGAATGTTGCAGCAAACTGAATGAGAACTTGTTCCTTCAATCAGTTGAACAGTGATGTTTGATTTCGAGCTTGGATGTGCCATGAGCGAATGTCTTTTGCCCCTGTGTTGATGTACACATTCTTTGCCACACCAAGCAAACTAGATCCTTGGTGCCCTTTTTATCAAGTGAAGGCTATTTGAAAAAAGTGGTTTGTTGTTACTTTGATGAGAAAATTGGCAACCACTGAACTTCTGTTTTTGTCACTTAATTTGCATACATGTTTGGTAGCTAAATTTAACCGTGTCTTTAGTTTGTTTTCATATTGTAAATGCTACTTAGTTGCTTAAATTGGTTTATTTTTGTGGTGGGGGAGTTGTGAGCTTCAGAGTAATATTCTCTTAGTTATTATAAAAAGGTCACCTCTATAAGCTCTTGCACATTCTAGTTTTGTTTATGAAACACCTGAACATTAATTTATCATTCATCAAATAGCCAGAAACCAAAAGCTTGGTCTTTATACTCACACAAGTTGCTCTTCTCGTGATGCAATTGATGGAGGTTTTTACAGCAAACTTGAAGTGTGTTCTCCTGATATTCTCAGCAACCTCCTTTCAGTCATTTGCCCCTTTATCTTTACACACTGGTAAATTTAGTTATTTCTTTGTAATTTTCAAAATATTACACATTCTCCACTTCCATCCAGCTTACTTTATTTGTTTTGTTGTTTTTTTTTCTTTTTTTCAAAAATCCATTTGAGGCTTGGGTTACAGGAGTGTGTGGGTTTGTTTTTGCAAGGGATTAATCAAGGCATCTGTCATGGATACATTTTTAACAATGGACGTGCACATTGTGCATTATCAATTTTTATGTTGACTGATAAATTTTGTAAATTTGTGTTGGGCTTTTATTCAATAAAATATTGGATGGATTTACATTATTTATGATGCTGTCTTTTTATTTTTTTATTTTTGTGTTTCAGTCTACAAGGTGATTTTTGACTTGTTAAACTATAAAGCGTCTGAGTGTTTTTAAAAGCACTATACAAATAAAATGAATTATTATTATTATTATTATAAAGTAAGCTGTAATGTCACAATATTGTGGCACCCACCAAGTACTGATGAAATTTTCATTTATGTGTACATTCAATTGAAATATTAAATATTGGATTTTTCAGACCGTAATTGTACTCTACACATTTTGAAAATTTTGATTAACTTGTACTTCAGATCCGAGCAGTATGACCTGTTTGCTTGCAGACAAAATTTGTACGCTGTGTTGATTCACAAACTTCATTTATCCATATAAGTGCATGTTTAAAAAATGTACAATATATGAAATGATAAGACTTGAAAGGCTCTTATCATTCATAAGCAGGAGAAAATGGGGTAAAAACTGATCTATCAAAGAAAATATTCTAGGGTGACCATATCTTGATGACTGAAGACCAGGGCACTCGCAAAAATAAAACTTGAAGTTTACTCAGAGATGTCTTAAAATTTTAATACATTTAAAGTTTATAAATAAATACCTCTGCTGTGTTAGCAAACTTTCACAAAAATAGCTCTTAAAAAATTAGAAAACCAACAACAAATATCTATATCTTTCATTTTCTTTTTCATTGTGGTAGCACTATTTAGTGGCCCAATGAAAAAAAATAAATACCAGGACATTTTTATGCATATATGAAAAACGATTAAGACGGCCAGGACAGGACTTGAAAACAGGACATTTCCTGGGAAAACAGGATGTTTGGTCACCCTAAAATATACAGTTCCAAATGTGTTTCTGGACAGAGACTATAGTTATGTATTTGTTTAGGTCTTTCTTTTGTTAAATAAAGTGTTACGCTAGCATTGTGTCTTCAAACAGCACGCCTAGACTGCCCAAGTCCATAGATGGCGGTATCGCAAATTAAACGCGTGTATCCACGCAACATAAAGAAGAAGAAGACGACGGCCAGGAAGTAGTCCTCTTACACTTCCAGTCTAAATACTGCATGATACAGATATGTGAAATAGTGGTGTCATTACTGTAACCATAGATAACCAGTCATTTTGACAGCAAACATGCCCGGTCCAGACAAAGAAACAGAGCTGACGGAAAGGATTGAAGCGTTTTTGTCCGACCTGAAGCGTGGGGGGAGCGGGACGGGGCCGCTGCGGGGCTCGGCGGAGACAGCCCGAGAAACGACTGCCCTGCTCCGCAGAATCACAGCCCAGGCTCGGTGGAGCAGCGCAGGTGAGACAGGGTGTACAACTTATCTCAGACTTTACACTAACTTTTTATTAATTTATTACTTTGGCGAAATCGTTTTTCTTTTAGCTGAAACTGTTAGTGGGGAAAAGATACTATTTACTGACTATTTTAAAGGGATATCCCGGCGTAAAATTAAGTTTTACGCCGATTTCTTTGGCGAAGAGACTAAACACAACTCACCTACTCTCTTCCAGCAGCCACTTGTTTGTACGGAGACCTCTGGGCGAGTCCATCGACTGCTGCGGGGTGACGCAGCTCAAGGAAGAACATTTGCGATCATTACTTTATTATTTTCTTTAAGCAATACTCACCCTATTAATCATTTTGAAATGCAGACGCGGTAGTTCTTCTGCCTTAGAGTCTTGGTCTGACTGCATTTCCATGAGGAAATGATCATAAATGTTCTTCCTTGAGCTGCATCACCCCGCTGCAGTTGATGGACTCGCGAGGAGGTCTCCATGCAATCAACTGGCTGCTGGAGGAGAGAGCGTGAGTCTCCTTGCTTAAGAAACTAGACCAATCTAAAAAGATGTTTGGTGGCTAGTGCTGTGGCTGGGACCCTATATGTACTTCTGATGAAGTTAGGTGCTGTTCTGAGCATTATTTGTGGCCATAGAGTGGCTTGTGGCTCTCTGTATTGCTAACTGTGGTCGTTACTAAAGTTGATATAACTAGAGAAGCAAGCAGTTGGCTACATTCATTTCTCAATGGGGTGTCTAACTTGGTGTTACAATGTATGACCCTAACTTAATTTTACGCCGGAATATTCCTTTAAATTAAACATTTGGATAAGGGGGTTATTTTTGGATACTGGTTTTTGATGGTTGGCTTATGAGCGAGCTCTTTTTCAAAGTTTATTTTGCACATGACCCTTGAATAGGATAGGAAAAAATGCATTTATCCCAGCTCAAAACATAGCCAAGAAATACAGACAGGGTAAATATTTAGTGCCGCATAGTCAATCTGTCAACTGGCAAAGGTGCTTCTAAAAACTCTTAAGTCACAGTAAAGTGAAGGAAGGCACAAACATATCACTTTAATGTACATGTATCACACTGATTACTCACCACTGGACTACTCATAGAAAGATGAAGGGAGTTGAAAATGTGCTTTAATTGCAAAGGTGTCCACTGCATTTCCCTCCTTTGTTAAAATTTATTACAAACCTACCTTATTTTTCCTGCGTTTTTCTAGGCGATCTGATGGAAATAATCCGGAAAGAGGGCCGGAGAATGACTGCAGCCCAGCCATCAGAGACCACTGTGGGAAACATGATCAGACGGGTGCTGAAGATCATTAGAGAAGAGTATGCCAGGTGAGAAGACCCCAAGGATAAAACAGTAGGACTGCCGTGTTGACCATTAATTAATTGCTTTAGGGGAAACAAAAAACATAGTATCTTCAACCTGCTGTCAGTCATCTTGTCTAAAACTTACCTCCTCTTAGCGGTTTCAGGCATTACAAATTACAGCAGGGAAAATATCAAGTTTTGTTGCTAACAATCTTATCAGCTCAGTCAGTCTCTTAACCAGTTAAGTGATACCTTATAAATAGCCCGAGGTAGCAATAAAATTAGGATGCAGTGATCAATTGCAAGACAGTCATGTAATAAGACATGGCAAGATCTGATTCCGCACCATACTGCTTTGAAAGCTGTTCAAAGTCGAGTCCTCCTGCGCCATTATTGATCTTGTTGATGGATTGAAAGTGTTGCCTAAGATATAGGTTAAAAAAACTATTTGATGATCTCATAGTTTATAATTCCGCTAACAATAGACTTTTGAAAGCTATAAAAATGAATAATACTTTCAGGGTTGAGGTGCTGCAATGGCCAACACTTTCAGAGGTTTACAGGAAGATAAGATTGTCTTTCATAACAAATAGTGATAACATAAAATAGCTAGGGTACATTGATAGATTATTAACAACTTATTCTACTCAACTGATCCTGAAAAGGAATTGTGTCTGTTTTTTTTTTCAATAACAAATGTAAAATCGGGAATCAAGTGTATAAAAAGCAAAATAAATTTGTAGATCTGACTATTCATCAGGTCTACAAAGTGCATTACTATCAATACAAGTAAGAATGTGCAGACCAGGTAATCAGTTGATGATCTACACGTAGAAATGGTGGAAGAAATCACACTCCTTGGTGTGACTAGATCATAAACTGTCTTGTAAAACTAACTAAAGATACATCCAGTCAAAAAGAAAAACATTGCTATGCTACACAAAGTTAAATGTGTACAACTCACTACAGCTATTTTACTCTGCCTTGTTTAACCTAAACGAGTAAATGTACAGAGCTATTGGGGGGAGGGGGGGTCTTATAATATTGATTTAAAACTTATGAAAGCATTACAGAAAAGAGCTGTAAGGATAAGATATAAAACATCTCCAGAGGTAAAATCTCTAAAGGGCAGCATTATAAATTTGTCACCACTTTTGTGCACCCTTCACTGAACAAAATAAATATATGATTAAATAAATAAATGAGTGCTGTGGTTTTCTGCAGATCCCGAGGGAGCAGTGAAGAGACAGACCAGCAGGAATCTCTCCACAAGCTGCTGACCTCTGGAGGACTGAGTGAGGAGAACTTCAGGCAACATTTTGCTGCACTCAAAGCAAACGTGATCGAGGCCATCAATGAATTGCTGACTGAGCTGGGTGAGTTTAATTTCTTTGTTGTTTAGCCATCAGCGAATATGTGACACAAGTCAAGCATGTGTTATTTTCGATGAGGCTCATTGTTTCTCCTATGAACTCTAAAATTTCAGAGGGAACAACAGACAACATTGCGATGCAGGCCTTGGAGCACATTCACTCTAATGAGGTCATCATGACGATTGGCCGCTCTCGCACGGTGGAGGCTTTCCTAGAAGATGCGGCACGTAAACGCGGTGACATGAAACGCAAGTTTCATGTCATCGTGGCAGAGTGTGCACCTTTTTGCCAGGTACCTCAAACATGTCAAGAAGCAAGACTTAGAAAGCTTCTCAGGGAAGGAGTAGAACTTGGTGCCTGAGATAGATTTCATTGGTTCTAATGAATTTGAATGAATTTTTCAGGGACATGAGATGGCAACCAGTCTGTCGAAAGCCGGAATCGAAACGACAGTGATTGCAGATGCTGCCATATTTGCAGTCATGTCCCGTGTTAATAAGGTATTTCTCATCACAGATGGCTTTGGATCCATCACACCAGAGCAGCTGGATTGACTGTGCAATAATCTCTTTTCAGGTCATCATTGGCACACAGACTGTTCTTGCAAACGGAGGGCTGAGGGCCGTCAATGGGACTCATACTTTGGCACTTGCAGCCAAACACCACTCAACCCCTCTGATTGTTTGTGCTCCCATGTTCAAGCTCTCTCCTCAGGTAAAAGGACTCTCTAATCTGACCATTTCTAATCACTCCTGCTGACACAAATCCTCATAAGTGTTTTTTTGTCCTCAGTTTCCAAATGAGGAGGACACCTTCCATAAGTTTGTCTCCCCACATGAGGTGCTTCCTTTTACTGAAGGTAAATCCCACATTTAAAACAAGTCTTGATCTTTTAAAAATAGCTTTTCGGCCTTTGCATTCAGTTGACCTTTTCTGTTTCAGGTGAAATTCTCTCAAAGGTGAATGTTCACTGTCCTGTGTTTGACTACGTCCCACCTGAGCTCATCACGCTGTACATCTCCAACATTGGAGGACACGCACCATCATATATTTACCGACTGATGAGTGAGCTCTACCACCCAGAGGACCACGAGCTTTAACCCTTGTGATTGATGAATAAATTAAATAAATGTTACAACTCTCATGTTTCCTGTAATCAATCAAGTAAATCAATTAAAGTCCTAGTTCTTTTCTAACCCTAACCCTAGCAACAAAACAGGTCAATATTTTGCAGAGCCATCTTTGATGTCTTGAAAATATTAAAAGTGTTTTTATGGGGACTATCCAAAACGACTTAGTCCCCGAAAGGCTGAGTAGGGGAAAATGATACCTTGCTCAAAGCGTTGGCTGTAAGCTTCAATGAACAGGCTGTATCTCTTTTTGTCGTAATCTTATGCAAAAAGGACGAAGCACTTACATGCAATGAAAAGAGGGCAGTCGTTCAATATAGGTGAAACATAAGCAGTCAGCAAATCGAGGACTTCCCCATTCACCCTCTCTCCATTCATTCACAAACCCACCAGGTGAACAGCTGACTTCATTACTACTGGTGCTGATGTGATACCTCCACCCCCACCATGTGCCTTCCCCCCGCATATATCCACACAATACACGAATACTATAAAAGATCATGGCTGCCACAAAGAACTTTGGGAGACCACCGAACAGTGCCTTTGTTTTTAATTATGTTTCTGGAGGTCATTTTCTTCTTTATTATTTTTTATTATTGTGATGTGTGCTGCTGACTCTTGGCTAGGTCACTCTTGTAAATGAGACCTCGATCTCAACAGGTTCTTACCTGGTTGAATAAAATAAACTGGCGTCTACAGTATCTATTTAGAAAAAAACTGTATTTAAACCAACAAAGCCTTTTTTTATAGCATTAAAAAATACAAAAATTGATTTCAGTGCACTTTGTGGACAAGAAACGTAAAATGTGTAATTATATCAATCTGTTTGCAAATTAAAAAGGGGTGTAACATGTTAGATACAGGGTTCATGGCACTCTTCTTTATTTCCCCAGGGATTCTTTTTAAGGAACTTAGAAAAAAATGTTTTTGGTTTGAAATTTCTGGAAATGACAGATATTTGGAGCTGTAAGATCAGTGTAGCTTATAGAAAGAATAATGAAACCATTAACTGAAATGAGATGAACTTACTTGGTAAGTGCGAGTATTTACCTATACATGATGCAATAAACAGGCTGTCATGCAGTCGATGGAAAGCTTAATTCAGCCTTTTTTCTTACCCAATAGCTAAATCATTACAAAAAACATTTAAGTTAGAGTATAAGCACTCATTTGAAAAGCTACCCATAAAACTATTAGTCCACAAAAAATCTATTGAATTAAAACAACATGAATACATGTAGTTAGCTAATTTACACTCATGTCTATCTCAGGTGTGTGTCTGAAATATCAAGTGTCGTCCTCTTCCTCCTGCATGCAATATACCCCAGAGAAATTAGTTACAACCACACTAAATGGTTTGAATCTTCCAAAAATGGTTGCTGAGTTTGGATTCTAGTTGCAGGTTTTGTCCAGGAGGAGGCGATGTGTTTCAGCAGATTAAGCCGTCTGTTGCAGCTCTCCATGGCGTAGAAAAAGTCCAAAAGCAGAAACATACAGATTGTATAATGTGTGTGTCGGACATGTAGTGTGTGGTCGAAACAAACGTGAGTTGTGTAGTATGTGAAAAAGACTGGGTCTCGCTGTATTACTCAGGCTGCACTACAGCGTCTATTCACAGGCGCGATCCCACTACTGAGCGGCACGGGGGCTTTGACCTGCTCCGTTTCCGACCTGGGCCGGTGCACCCCTCCTTAGACGACCTGGTGGTCCCGGGCTCCCCCAGGAGCACCATATCGATACCGAACTTAGTGCGGACACCCGATCGGCATAGTCCGCTGCAGCTCAGAGCTCCTGAGCTCAAACGATCCGCCAGCCTCAGCCTCCCGGTAGCTTGGATTACAGGCGCGCGCCACCGCACCCGGCGAGGAGCAACGACTCGCATAGGGCTTTTGAATACGACTAAAGTGACGTCATGAGGGAGGGAGGGAGGGAGGGAGGGAAAGAAGGAGCTGCAGCGACATCTGGCGGTGGAGGAACAAACTGCAGCGACAGAGTTTTTCTGTTGTTCTGGCGCATTAGTTTTAAGTGCCAAGAAAGAAACAATACGTAAGAAGTAAGTAACCTCAAGAAATGAGTAACAACCGCACTAAATGTTTCAAATCTTTCAAAAATGACTGTTGAGTTTAGTTATAGCTGCATAAGTCTTTTACACTTTTCTTTATCTGCCAAGTTCTGCAGGCCTTGATAAAGCTCCAGCTCACCAGCTTCAGGCTCAAGTGCAATTTCCCAGATAGAAAACTGAAAAAAACATGATGTTTTTGTCTAGGAACATGCAGAAATCAGCCTAGGCGGCTTTTGAATAGAACACAAGAGCCGTCACAAGGAGGGGAGGGAGCTGCAGCGACACCTGGCGGTGGAGAAACAAACTGCAGCGACAGAGTTGAATATTTTCACGAGTTAGAATTTGTAGTATTCTCAGTTATTCTGGTGCATTTCTCTGATCAGAATTAAAATCTTCAGAACTGTTAGTTCAACCTTCACAATACTGAGCCATTTGTGCATATTTATATTTTGGTGCAAAAGGTTTGTGCATCTGGAACATGTAATTTGTAGTTGTGTACAGTGATTGTGTATGTTTATTAGTAAATGTGAAATCCGCACTCTATGAGTTGTGTACTTGTAGATTTTTTTTTTTATTTCCACAAGTACAGCACAACATTTACACATTCACAAATTCTTAATTACAGGTGCCCAAATCCTATTTTACAAGTCACAGATTCAAACTCTGACACACTCACATTTTTGCTCCTTTTGTTGCAACACATTTGGTGCAAAACATATTTGTGCACCTGTATGGAGCATTTTGAAGTTGTGGCCAAGATTTGAATATATGCAGATCTTTATGTGAACTTGTGCAAAAATGGTACATTTATGTACCATAAGCTTTCACGAAAATAGTTGTGTTGTTTTAAACACACATACAAATTGAAAATTACAACCGCGGGAATGTTCGCCACGAGAAGAAATGCTATCACCTCTGATTGGTTGTAAACCTGTCAATCTCAGATCAGCAATCGCCTTTTGCACCAAACAGCTCAGCGACTTGATTTGTAGCTGTCGGAAGCACAATCTGTGACTCGTTTCTCTATTTAATTGCTTGAGTCATTACATTCAAAAATGTTCAATAGTTTTCAGAATCTGTCAAGCAAATTTTATTAATTTCTTTATCATTTAGTCCTGGAAATGTCTCCTAAAGTGAACAATTTTTCTCAGGTGAACCTCAGCTTCCACTCATGAAGAGGGCTGTGTGAAGCATTAGTTGCAACCATAGACTGTATATAGAATAGAATAGAATAGAATAGAATAGAATATTCCTTTATTGATCCCCCATGGGGAAAATTTCTTTGTCACAGCAGCATCACAGACAAAGAGTGCAAAAATGCAGTTATAAAAATAAAGATCCTAATATTAAGACCTTAAATAAATGTAATAATTAAGAGAAATATTTAGGAAAAGGAAAAAGGGAGAAGAAAAAAAATGGACAGCGTCTGCCTTTTCACTGGGTGAAACCACACCAAGAACAGCACCCTCTGGTGACGGGCTGCAGTATAGGTCATAAATCCGCCTCCTCAAACAATCCCTTTGGAGCTGTGGACAAACTTTAGAAATTTATTACACAGAATATACATTTTTCTCCCCCCTGCTTGTGATGTTGACATGTAGTTACTGTAAGACTGGTTTGTGCTCAAGTCCTCTTTTTTCTGTGAAGCTCCATTTTTAAAAGTTATTAGGGGGTTCATTTTTTCTGTGACTGACACTTGATACAGCCCATGGGCGTACAATTCACAAGTGGTGGAGTGCGTACAACACTACTGCGCAATGTTGGTTTCAGGAAATGGGGAAAAAACGTGGAATAACTGAGAGCTTTTCAGCTTCAAATCTGTAAAGTGGCGGAAGGCGGAACCAAGTTGTCCACAGTATATACAGTCTATGGTTGCAACCACTGATAAGCCACTTCTCCACAGTCACTCAGGGCTGAATCCCATGAACCCTCACTTGGCTAGCATATATCAAATGAGCAGGACCATTTCTACAATACTTTAACACAGAAATAGAAGGTCAGAGTGGTGAAGAGGGGTGAGGATGTGAGAAGGGAAGGGGAAGAGGAAGTAGAGGCCAAGTATAAAGGCAGATTCCTGATTAAATTAGGGCTACACTTGTGGACTATGTTGTCAATCACGGCCTTACAATGGCTTAGGCTGGTCGAAGGGTGGAGCCAAATGTTGGGAGAGACACTGTAAATTCAATTATTCAAACACTTGGTCAGGAGAACAGGGGCGCCTATTGGACAGTAATTCAGCACTAAACAATCTGCACTGCACTATGGTCATTGTGTTATACACGAAGCTCACAGTGGGACAAGACCTTCTTAACTTTTACATTTAGACTTACAGCTTTACTACTTTGCAGATTTACTGTATTGTAGTGTACAGTAGTGTAACAGTAAAGATTTGCCATATTTACAGTATGGTACTGTACTGCAGCATTTCACACATGGAAAGCATTTTTTTTTGTACTCTACAGTAATATTGTTTAATGTGGTATATTTCTGTACCACACAGGATTGCGAGACAACCTCACAGAGGTGGAAGAAGGTCTCTTTTTACTCCACAACAAAAGAAAGTCATTTGTGCAACAGTGATTTCAAACAATTCCAAAGATTAAGAGAAATACAAAGTGCTGTTCTAGAGTTACCCCACAATATACCGTCATGTGTAACCTCACTGTAGTTTTCAAATGGCTATGCAGGGTATAGTGCAGTCTTGAGCATTTTCAGATGGTGTCACAGATCTGACTTTTTGAAAACACTTAGAGAGTAAACTGGCATAATGAAAACATGACAAAGCCATTTGACTGCCTTGATCGGAAACAATGATGTCAGGATCTTTCATTTTGATGACACAGATACTTTTATTGACATGAATACTTGCTTTTGAGGAACGAACTATTCAGTTTGAGCAAGTGACATGCTTTTGCAGGTTATCCACTAGGTTTTGCAGTTTGTACTAATTGTTTTGAGAAATTCACTAACTGTTGTGCATATGTCAATAGTGATGTGAGAAATGCAGCAAAGCCACTGAGAAAAACTGTAATAGCTTATATCTGATATGATGATGGTTAATTTCCTGATTGTTTAACCTTTTTTTCTGATTAACTTAATATTGTAGACATCCAAATATTTATTAATGGTGAACATTACAATCACCAGGAGCCTGATAAAAACAAGAAAAAAAAACAAGACCTGGAGGCAAAATTTCACTCCACTGAATTTCACTAATTCCCATTTGAGTATACTCTTACCTTGCAAATTAGCTTTTTTTTAATTTGTTTTCTTTTTCCAGGCTCATATTTCCAATGAATGTTTTAATAAACATGGTTAACAAGGCTAAAGGTTTCCATCACTAATGTGCTAATCTCTATTTAGTTAGTTTGCTCTTTAAACAAATTTAAGCTAAGTTACACACATTTTGTAGGTTAGTTTTGAATAAAATCAGGGCCAGTGCTGATGATTAATAACACACAAGACAGATAGCCAATATTTGAAATGAAATGCACTGACAGCAAAAATCAAAAACTTTCAGTCAAAAATTACAAACTCCAATATGACACTCTGCTGAAGTGCCTCCAACAAATATTTAATCAGAACTGAAACATTCAACATCAGAAACAGATGTTACAGTTTTCTCAGTCGCTTTGGTGCATTTCTCACATCACTATTAACATTTGCACAACACTCAGTGCATTTCTCAGAACAATCAGTACAAACTGCAAAACCTTGTGGATAACCTGCAAAAGCGCGTCACTTGCTCAAAATAAGTAGTTGTTCCTAAAAAGCAAGTATTCATGTCAATGAAAGTGTCTGTGTCATCAAAATAATCAGTCCCGACATCATTGTTTATGAACACGACAGTCAAATGGCTTGTTCATGTTTTCATTATAACACTTTACTCTCTCTGTGTCTTTCAATGCAAAAAAGTCAGATCCTGGTGACTGAAAGAAAAATTGCATGTGTATGCTATCACGTGTATTTTATCAATATATACGTATGTGAATCATCATTTATTGAAAATCACTTGGTGTGAATGCTTTTGCAGAGTCAAACCTGTTTCTTTTTAATGAGCATGGGAAAGGAGAAGTATGGCCTTGGAGTTGGGACTGATACTTTTCCGCTGAAGCCATGCAACTAGATGAATGCTATAATTTCACTCACAGGTTGTTTTCCCAACAGTGTGACATTGAACTGATAAGCAGGAACCTGATGATAAACTAAGCTGTCTTTGTTCTCCTAGTACAGACCACAGCTGCAACCTGTACCCTATTTGGATACTGTTGTAATGTCATGCCATTTGTGAGATGATGTTAGTGGGCGGGGGTGTCTGTTTCTTGACTGCATTAAGGATATGTAAAAAACTGAATCTCTCAGTCAGAGGAAGCGGCCTTTGTTGTAAGCTGCTGACTCCTTGCAAGTAAATGATATCGAAGAAAAAGAAGTCCACTATCTCTGTCGTTCTTCTCAGCTGGCTGCAAGTCAGATGCAGTTTAATTTTTCTGACAGTGACACTACCTGAAAATGCTCAAGACAGCACTATACAATATCTGTGCAGCCGCTTGAAAACTACAATAAAGTTACACATTACTGTATTTAGTGAGGTAACTGAATACAAGACACATGTATGTTTCACATGTTTACTGTATTTGCTGCAATTCTACAGCATTGTGCAAAAAATAAATAAATAAATAAATAATAATAATAATAATAATTCACAGTCACTTATTTGGAACAAACATAGGATTCACAGTGGTTCTACCTACATTTGGTTGCACCCGTCAACCAGCCTCAGCCATAGTGATGCCGTGATTGACAACATGGTCCACAAGTGTAGCCCTAATTCCATCAGGGATTTGCCTTTATACTTGACCTCTTCTTCCTCCACCCCTGTTTTGTCCCCTTCTTTCCCATATTCTCATCCCTCCTCCATGACACTGACCTTCCATTTTTGTGTCACAGTAGAAATGGTACACACTTTGTCCTGCTGGTTTATATATGCTTGCCAAGTAAGCGTTCATGGGATTCAACTCTGAGTGACTTTGGACAAGTGGCATGTCATTTGTTACAATTACAGTTTTTCTCAGTTGCCTTGGTGCATTTCTCAGATCAGAATGAAAGTTCTCACAACTATTAGTTCAAGCTCCACAACACTGAGTCATTTGTACATCATCATAATAGTTTCTCATTCCTCTGAACAAATTGCAAATGCTCTTAGACATGTATCAGTTACTTTCATACAATAACATTATCATTTGCTTATGTCATGTCAGTCAAAATGAACTATACTTTTGAATTCCCATTCCCTATAAAACTAATAGTCCTCATTTAATTGCTTGAGTCATTACATACAAAATTGTTGAACTAGTTCTCAAAGTCTGTTAAGACAATTTACTAAATTTTTTTAATCACTTTTTGTTCCTGAAAATGTCTCCTAAATTGAACAATTGCTCTCAGGTGAACCTCAGCTTTCACACATGAGTGGTGTGTGAAGTATTAGTTGCAACCAATGACAAGCCTTTGTCCACAGTCACTCAGAGATGAATCCCATAAACCCTCACTTGGCAAGCATATATAGACCAAGCAGGACATAGTGTGTACCATTTCTACAATTCTGTGACACAAAAATGGAAGGTTATTGTCATGAAGGAGGGGTGAGAATGCAGGGAGGAAGGGGAAGGGGACAAAACAGGGGCAGAGGAAGAAGAGGTCAAGTACATAGGCAAATCCCTGATTAAATTAGGGCTACACTTGTGGACCTTCAAAATATTATCAAAAATAGTATTTCTTATGTTTGTACTAAATTAAGTGACTGTGAATTTTTTTTTTTGCACAATTCTGTACAATTGCAGCAAATACAGTAAATATGTGAAACATAAATGTGTCTTGTACTCAGTTACCTCACTAAATACAGTAATATGTAACTTTACTGTGGTTTTCAAATGGCTGTACATGTAGTGTATAGTGCTGTCTTGAGCATTTTCAGGTAGTGTAACCAAGATCAGATTTTTTTGCGTTTGAAAGTTCTGTGTCAGAACTCAGAAGGGGTTTTATTGCCATCGTCGATTAACAGGATTCACAGACTAGGAATTTGTTTTGGCATGATGGTGCAACATTAAACAGAGAGATATATAAAATACTAGAATAAAAACTTTGACTGTCTTGTTCATAAACAATGATGTTGGGACTAATCATTTTGATGACACAGACACTTTCATTGACATGAATACTTGCTTTTGAGGAATCAACTATTCATTTTGAGCAAGTGACATGCTTTTGCAGGTTATCCACAAGGTTTTGCAGTTTGTGCTGATTGTTCTGAGAAATATGTGTTGTGCAAATGTTAATAATGATGTGAGAAATGCACCAAAGCGACTGAGAAAAACTGTAACGGTCACTGACGAACACTTACAAAAAAATGTTCACACACAAGCACACCTGGATCTCCCTTATTGTCTTCACCTGCAGGACATTATAAGAAATTTTGAGTTTGGTTCTAGTTGCAGGTTTTGTCCAGGAGGAGGCGATGTGTTTTAGCAGATGAAGCCGTCTGTTGCAGCTCTCCATGGCGTAGAAAAAGTCCAAAAGCAGAGCTCGAGCTGTTGTATAATGTGTGTCTCGGACACGTAGTGTGAGGGCGAAACATAAGTGAGTTGTGTAGTATGTGAAAAAGACTGGGTCTCGCTGTATTACTCAGGCTGCACTACAGCGTCTATTCACAGGCGCGATCCCACTACTGAGCGGCACGGGTGGCTTTGACCTGCTCCGTTTCCGACCTGGGCCGGTACACCCCTCCTTAGACGACCTGGTGGTCCCGGGCTCCCCCAGGAGCACCATATCGGTGCCGAACTTAGTGCGGACACCCGATCGGCATAGTCCGCTGCAGCTCAGAACTCCTGAGCTCAAACGATCCGCCAGCCTCAGCCTCCCGGTAGCTTGGATTACAGGCGCGCGCCACCGCACCCGGCGAGGAACAACGACTCGCAGAGGGCTTTTGAATACGACTAAAGTGACGTCATGAGGGAGGGAGGGATGGAGCTGCAGCGACATCTGGCGGTGGAGGAACAAACTGCAGCGACAGAGTTGAATACTCCTACCAGTTCCAACTTGGAGTTTTTCTCAGTTGTTCTGGCGCATTAGTTTTGACAAGCAAGAAAAAATAGGCCTATATTTATAAAAATAAATAAATAAAAAAACTTAATAAATGAGTAACAACCGCACTAAATGGTTGAAATCTTTCAAAAATGACTGTTGAGTTTGGTTATATTTGCATAGGCCTTGTACACTTTTCATTATCTGCCAAGTTCTGCAGGCCTTGATAAAGCTCCAGCTCACCAGCTCCAGGCTGAATCAACTTGATTGATCTATTTAAAAAGGGTATATACGATGACACATTTTTTACTGTAATGGTCATTTTAATTTCTTAAAATCCACAAAAGAGTATCTGAATCAAAAGTAAAGCTTACCCCTTGATAAAGTCAAAACCAGCTCCAGACTCAAGCGCAATTTCCCAGATTGAAAACCAAAACAAACATTATGTCTTTGTCCAGGAACATGCAGAAATCACATGCATGTAAAGAGATTTATTAGAGCTCATTTGTTATCAAAGATCCTGTGGAGTTTTTTTGACATTTCTGAAATGGACTGACATTCACAGTGATGTTTTTTTATGTGTGCAGAGGCAAACAAGCCTTTTATGACGTTTGTATTTTATGGATGTGTAATGGTGGTAGGCGTCAGTTGAGCAGCTGAAGAAACAGTCCTGTTTTTACAATTTCCTTTGAATTAATTCACAATAAATTATACATTAAATCATCAAAAGAGAACAGATTGAGTTTTTTTTTTTCTTTTAATTTTATTTGATTTATTTTGTAAGGGGACACGACTCTAGCATGTATAGGACGAGATGAACAAAAACTGCATTTTTTTGCACGGGGTGGGCACAAATTAACAAAAACCAAAAGTTTCTTGTAGGACCTTGAGGTTTCTACCTCAGGACGGCCCAATTTTCAAGACTTGATTTGATGCTTACTTAAAAATTATGTGATGAAAGGTACACTGAAAATATAGTAAAAATACACTTGAGTTTGATAAGCAAAAAAGAAGAACAGCCATAAATAAACTTTCTTGATTCTTTATTTTCAAGCAAGCAAACACATAAAACTAACAAATAAAATATGTGAAACAGATATTAATGATCATTTTTTATAATAACTAAAGAAGAGCCAAACATACTGAGAATAGATAGATAGATAGATAGATAGATAGATAGATAGATAGATAGATAGATAGATAGATAGATAGATAGATAGATAGATAGATAGATAGATAGATAGATAGATAGATAGATAGATGTAATGTTAGTGTCTAACCACAAGATGACACCCCACTCTGCTTCATTCAAAGGTAGAAACTGCTCTCCCTCTGTGAGTTGTGCAGTTTCGGCAAAGTGTAGCTGTGTTAGTTGGATGTGAATGCTTAGGATGAGGGTCAGTGAGGGGCATGAGAATGGTTTTGGCACCCCGCTACGGTCTGACAGAGAGAGTGCATTGTTCTCTGACCCAAATTTCTTGACCTGGAACTGCACAGAAAAAAAAAAAAACAGATGATAATGAATGGGTCGCAGCAACATGTTTTCACTCTCCGCTGCCTCACACTCACTGACCAGACCATGACATCATCCAACTGTCAAACAGCATTTTCTGACAATTAGCCCCCTCTGAAAAGAGCGGAATAGACAAGACCTTAAGGTGCAGCTAACTAAGAAACATGTCATAAAACATGGAAAATCCATAAAACACCAGAAAATGTTTCACTGTTATTTATCACTAAAAAATTATTGGTTGATCGAACCATCAAGATAGATCAGAGTTTTGTTATTGTGGAACAGCTACAATAAAGGCTATTTTCTGCTGAGTGTTAATCATTTTTAAGAATCCCATTATCTATCATCACTGAAGATGCCAATGTTTTTTCATACACCCAAAGTCTAAACTAGAACACATAACTGCGCTACCAAAGTAAAAGTTCGTTTACATTCAACCGCTTACAAGCTAGAAATACCTTTACTTGGAATTTATGCCCTCCCTTATCTATTAGACTCTATTAAACTGAAATACAGAGTCTCGACTGATTCCTAGCTAACAGCAATTTCAGCTAGTTCTGAACAGTAGTTGAACGCCAATGAAGAGGTTTTTTTTTCTAGCGTTGGTAACACAGTAGGCCTACTTTGCTTCAATTAATCAAATAACTAAAGGACTCTGAGATGTGTGAAAGCACCTACAAGACAAAGAACTCTGAAATACACAGGAGAGTGATCACCTGTTAACTCTAGCCAAATCAACATATTAAATGACCAATTTGTCTAGGTCTGAGTAAATTATGTTGGAAAGGAATTGATGCTTTCCCTATTTCTATATTCAGGCTTTCAGCTGATTCCTTGCTAATGGTAGACCTAAGTGAAGAGTTAATGCTAAGATTGGCTTATAACCCCAAATCAAAAGGGCCATTTAATTTTCCCCATTTGCTTTACTATTATTTACTTGACAGTGATGTGTTTAGTATATTGCAGTGTTTAATGAAACAGACAAGATGAAAATAGAATATTGTATTTGTAAGTATGTTTATTTAGTGTTGCCTCAACATAAAAACTGTTTGATTCTGTTAACTATATAAGTATGTTTATCGATGTAGGAGTGGGTCTTGTCATGTTCCTACTCTAACACAGAATGGACAAACTAGTAACATTTACATTTTTGTGTGAAGTGACCACATGAAATGTACCTGTTGTAAGATAAAGTAAAAACATGCGTTACAGTGCATGTATCACACAGTTTTTTTTTTCTTTGAAGCCCATTGTTAGTTTAGGGATCGGAGGGGAGTATTTTCAAGGTGAGAGGTGATTGAATAAAAACACTAATTTCTTGAAAACCCTAAATTTGAAGCTGATTTTAAGGCCCTTCTTTTTACCTGAGGACATTTTTACGCCACTTTTGTTTCTCCTAAATGACTTCTTTTTAAGATAATGAGCCCTCAACTTGGTCCTTATGAATGGCATTAGAGGTTATGACACTTGTACCAAATTTCAATTAATTTTGCTTATTTTTGAGCTGATTAGACCAAGTCAACCTTATTTTATTTTTATCTTCCAGCATTTGAGACCACACCTACTTCACTTGAATCTCATTTAAATGAGATAGACACACGTTAATCTTCAAGCAGACTCATTAGCATGCTACACACCGTCACCGGTATAATCACACTCATGGGTGTGTCCAGGCGAGAACCCACTCATCATTTTTTGTGCACAGGAGCTTGTCTGAGACTGTGGAAGAGGAGGAGGAGGGAGCAGAAAAATCTCGCCCTCTTTTTTATCCCACCATTTTCATTCTTCACAGCTCTTTGATGAGACAGGGGAGCATACCTGGGCGGAGTCTGGAGATTTACAGATGACAGAAGCGTACAGACCATTAAAGCCCAGTGCTCTACTAATGAACAGTCAGTGCAATCACACTGAGAAGAGTACAGTGCATATAGAGCACATTGATCCACTGTCACCTAAAGAAACATTTGACCCTGTCACATGAAAGGACAAGAAGATTTATCTTTGGTTTCTAATCAAAACTCCACACAGATTAGATAAATAGGCAATGAAACACAACAGAGAGTATTGTTCTGAGCAGTCATTGTCTATATATGAATATTCAGTACAGTGGCACAACCTCAGATGTAGCACACTGCTCTTAATAAAGATGGACAAAACATCTCCACCTCCTCCTGTTGGGAAAAAAAGTGAACCAAAATGATACTGACGTCTTCACATTCTGAGCCAGAGTCTGTGCAGTGGGGTTTCTTTGGTTGAGCAGTTATGTCTTTCTTTTACTAACTTCTAGATTAAACTTCAAAGGTCCCTCAGGTGTGCTGGGTAACACAACACTCAGTCATATCATAATGCCCCCATTGTAGTCAAACATTAGACAAGAAAAATAAATATTTGGACATAAATCAGCACAATAAGAACAGATAGTAACCATACAAAACATAAATGAGTAAATAAATGACCTGTAGTTTGATCTTTAAGTTTGACCCATTTGTTTATACAGAGGAAGTAGCAGCAAGTCGGTAGGAGGCCCTTTAAATCTGTTGGTTTCACTTTTTGGGAGCTGCCATGTTGTTCATCATTTTATACTGTCAGTGTAAAGCTTTCGACAGCAAATTAACAAGCAACATTTTTAATAAACAGCAGGTCAGATATTCATTCAACAGAAATTCATTTTTGTTTATTAAATTATTCATTTCACTCCACCATCACTGATACCGCTTGAACTACTTTTATGTACATTTATTTTAATATTTAGCCATTGTTTCGATATGATTCCTTTGTTGTCGTGGTGGTATTTCAAATATAAATGAAACTGTTTGAGTTTCAAAGTCGTCTGCTAATAACATAAAGTTTCCCTGCATGGTGTGGATGAATACAGCCTGATGTCACCTCCCCCCACATACGCAATACGGCATCATTATTCCTTTTTCTCTTCTCTAGAGTATTGATGTGCAGCCAGCAGCCACAGCTGTTGCCCAGTGATGCAGTGCTCCAAGCTGTGCAGCGTGTTGTCATCAGAGCGGCGGTGTCTCATGGGAGAGCAGAGATGAGTGCTGTAATTAGCGTGGAACGAGGCCAGCGGCAAGCCAAGTGTTCCCATGGGGCTCCTTGAGGCCCCAGGAGGACTTAAAGACGCGTGGCTAACCTGTGGGGCCGCTACCTGTGGCTTTCATTGTTAAATTAAAGGATGGCATTTAACAAGTGCACACTAAAGCATTCAAAAACTACATGTTGTAAAGACAGAATAGGGTTTGACAGGCTTTGCTTTTGATTCAGATATTCTTTTGTGGATCTCAAGAACTTAAAATGACTCATTACAGTAAAAAAAAAAGTCATCATATATACCCTTTTTAAAAAGATCAATCAAATTAATTCAAAAATAAAATCAATTTAATAAAAATAAAATCACCCCCAGGAAGGACGTGCAAGAAGTGTCATTTAGTCTTGAGAAAATCAAAAAGGAAACTCAGATTCATTTGTGATAAAAAAAGAGGAAAATACCACAATTACTCATAAAATACTCTTTACGCTTTTAAACAAATTTTCCAGATTTTTTCTTAAAGGATCCGTTTTTTAACTGGAAAAATGAATCGTGAACCCAACAAGGCCAGACTCACTTGCAAGATATTTCTGTTGTCTCTCGGTGGTTGAATGAATTACCAAACTCCATCAGATTCAAAGAGTCCCTTTCAACCTTGAAGAAAAAGCTCAAGACTCAGCTCTTCAGGGAACACCTGTGCTGTTTTACTCAGCTCTTCTCCTCTGTCGCCCCCAGTGGTAGAACGGATGGACACTTTGCCCATCTTAGTAAATTCTTCTGCACTTGATGCACCTTGTGATGATGATAACTGTGATTGGTGAATCCCTTTGGTTGATGGTGGTTAAATATGTCTTTGGAAAAAAGTGCATCATCTTATTCACTGTATTCAAGTGATATTCCAGTGTAAATGACAGAGTGCAGTGGAGTTTCGCAGCTCAAGGAAGAACATTATTATTATATATTACTTCATGGAAATGCAATCAGACCGAAATGCTAAGGCAGAAGAACTACCTCGTCTGCAGTGCAAAATGATTATTATGATGATTATTACTTCATGGAAATGATCAGCCGCACTCGGTGATCGACTCGTCAGGGCTCCCCCACAAACAGGTGGCTGCTGGAGGAGAGTGGGTGAGTTGTGTTTGGTCTCTTTGCTAAAGAAATCAGGCAAAGCTAAAAATATGTTTGATGGTTAGTGCTATGGCTGGGACCCTTCATGTACTGTTGATGAAGTTAGGTGCTGTTCTGAGCATTATTTGTGGCTATAGAGTGGCTTTTTCATTGGGGACATAGACCGCTGTGTATTGCTACTGTGTGGTCATTGCTGAAGTTGGTTTGACTAGAGAAGCAAGCAATCAGCAACAATCATCACTCAGTGGGGTGTCTAACTCAGTGTTAAGGTGCGTTTGACCGTAACTTAAATTTACGCCGGAATATCCCTTTAAAGTACCATGCCAAGTTACACTTAATGCAGTTTTTGGCACCTGTGCTGTTTCCTTCAACCTAGATCTTGCTTGTGTTGTATTTACTCTCAAATGTACGTTGGGCTGGAAACAATTGATGGCAAAATTGTCTTGTTCACTGTACTGTACGATAGATGACTGACAACTGTGAATTACAGCCAATCTGTATTTTATAATACATTTTTTATTTTTGTTGAACAAAACAATCAACCACAATGAACAGCTGTCCATTTTAAAATGTTAAATGTTTTCTTTTTTTGTAGTGATTGCTAATGGATTAGACGATAAACTTTCCATCAAATGACAACAAATAAAGAAAGTAATTGTTAGTGTTTTTCCTAAATCTTAGAGATATATAGGCCTACTTTTATGAAAATGCAGCTTTGCTACAAATTTTACCTTATTTGATTCAATATGGATTGATTCTGTTTGGCTTTAATTATTTTTATTAATTTTATTTTTCCTGAGAAATAATTTTCCTGACCATAAATGTAACCCTTATTGTTAATCGTACAATAAATAACAAACGGCACGTGTTGTATGTGTGTGCTTGTCTGTGTCTGCATGCGCTGGTGTGTGCAGGTGTATGACAGCTGCTTCTGCTCCATCTGTGTCTGCTGCTGATGAGTAAAACCATGAATTAGATCCAGCTGGAGATGTGCAGAGGAGACTGAGGCCTCCTGGGAAATCATCCACACCTCCACTGGCACTGTGTCAACTCCTTTCGCACCCCAGAGAGCTATCAATAAGTGGGTAATTGAATTTTAAGCACAAACACTGCCGTCAGATAAGCATCTGTGGGAGTGTGTGTAGGGGGGTGTTTAGCTGCGTGAACATGGTGAGGCTGTCATCAGGCCCTGAGGGGTTTTCACAGGAAGGATGAATGTTAAATCTATTAAATAACAATTACAGCCTGTAATGGCCTGAGTGGCTGCTGGATGGAGGGAGGGGCAGAAGTATAGAGGCAAACAGCTCATGTTATTGAAAATGTGTATGCCTCTTTATGATCACAAAACCTTGAGACATCACAGCTTTTTATTTGTTTGCCAGCACTAATATAGGGGAGACCGGGGCTTGTTGTCACACTTTTTACACTCTTATATATTACTTGGAATCAATACATCATATACAAACAAAATGTGAACCAGATGAAAGACCAAAGTCTCAGGTATATATTTTGTACTTGTGCCCCAACATCAGGTAAGTTGTCTCACTACATGGGATAAGATGTCACAGAGGATTTTGCAGCTAATAAAACAAAGACAAAATTATTGTTGTTCTCATTTTTAATACTTGAAAGTGAACATCAAAGTCAGGCACAGAAAATGTTCATCATTGAGCCAAAATAGTCATTGAAAATAGCCATTGAACAAACGTTAACATAAAATATCATGCAACATGCTCTGGAGTTTAGAGAGCTGTCTGAATCTGTATTTCAGCTGGGGTGAATGTTTTGCAGTACCGAGCCAAGGTATGGATAGTTGACATTAAAGTCCTTTGTTGTAGTCCAGATTGACTTATTAGCAAGGGTCACCTGCCTTACTGCCCTCAGCATCACGTCAGGTACTGCACTGCCATGTTCTGTTTTTCTTTTGAGATTCCTGACCATGTCTTTTCGCTTTCTCCTCTCCTTTAAACCACTCTTTTCTCTGCAAAAATAAAGTCAAAATTTCAATATGACAACTGCTGATAATCAGACTCTCTATGTTAATTTTAATCCCTTTTAAACATGTGACAACTAACCCCAAAATGACTGAGACATGTTGCCCCAAACTACCATGTTTGCTAATTCTAGCTCTAGATTAAAATTATTTTAAAACAGAACAATGACTGAGGTATGACAGGATGCCTTA